TATACACAGAAATCAGAGATTTGAACCTCTTTTTCCTCCAGTGAAATTGGACAAGGTAAATTACAGAAAATGCAGAGATGTATATGCTCATTTGAAATGACATTTAATGTTTGAATTTGTGAAAAAGCTAATGTGTCTGTGGCAAGGTTACGTAATTTTAAATAATAGTATAAATCCCTGTGTTTGGATTTTTAATAACATCTACCACAGTATGGAGAGTCATTTCGTATGTAACACCTTGATCTACATTAGTAGATTATTTTAATATTAAATTAAATTATATAATTTTAGACAAGTAAAAAAGCTGTAAGTTACTGTAAGTAAGAACTTTGAATACCCTCCACCATTTGGAACGAATTTGGCAATTCTTAAATACAATAAAATCCGTTACAAAATTCTGTTCAAATCTTAAAAATACCGAATGTGGCTGTTGTTGTTATGGTCCATACGAAGACATGGACCTGCATAGGTAACTTTTGTCATAAGCCATTACAATATTCAAATGCGTACGGAATATTGGGAGGTACGCTTATATGGGGGCTATACGAAGACGTGGACCTGCACAGACAATTTTCTGTCTTAGGCTGTAGTATCCATTACGAACTCAAATACCAAATTTGAAACAATTCCGGTAAATAATGTCGCTAAAATCATCAAAATACCGAATATAGGGATGTACCGTTGTATCAGGGCTCTACGAAGACGTGTACCTGCACAGACAAATCCATCCATTCAACCATCCATTACGAACATCAAATATCAAATTTGAAACAATTTCGGTGAATAATGTCGCTAAATTCATCATAGGCTATAGCATCCATTACGAACATCAAATATCAACTTTGAAACAATTCCGGTGAATAATGTCTCTAAAATCATCAAAAATACCGAATATAGGGAGGTACCGTCATATGGGGGCTATACGAAGTGGGTTATCCGCAATATAAGAGTTTTGTGAAAAAATGTTATAAAAACAAAACAAGTTATTGCCTGTTTATTTGACGTAATAAGACTCCAGTACATAATTGCATTTTCCATGGTAGAAGAATATAGGTAGACACGTCGACACAGCTGCTGGGACAATCAACTGTCATACCAATTTTGGAATTGAAAATGTTGAATGAAAAATTATTTAAATTTTTAAAAATTTTTGAAAACGCGAATTATAATAGCCTCCGACTGACGTAGGATAAGAAATCATATAAAAATCTACTTATATTTGAAAAAACATTTAATTTTTTTTGACATAAAATGATCCCAAGCGTTGATGCATCTACCTGTATTCTTCTGCCATGGCATTTTCCTAGTTTCCTTGAAGTTGAGAAACCTTTTTTATTGAGCCATGGTAAAAATGTGTTAGTTACTTGCAGCTGAGAAAATGCAAATGCAGTAAAATTGAAACACAAATCTTCAAAACAGCCAAATAAATTCATAGCAAAATTTTAAAAAATAAAAAAATCTTCCACATTTTGCGTTTTTAAATTGTTCGCAACTATCAATTCCATCGTGTATAGATCAAATAAAAACCACTGGGTTTAAGATTTGACGTATAAGAAATTGAATTGGTATTTAAAATCCCCTGGATGCTCAGTTGTGGTCTGCTAATGCAAGTGCTGCCCAATGGAAAATAATCAGAACTATAACATAACCTTAGAACTATAACATTATATTCACCACTTGGTGGATAGATAGCCACACAGGTATGTTAGAATATATATATGAGAGAGAGGTACCGAGGTATAAAAGGCGGGAGCATAGAAGTTATGGGGGAATACAGGAAAGAATTGTTTATCATATCTTAGCATTAGTTCACCATATATAATTTGGCTATGGGAACGATATAGTATTGTTGCTGGTTCTGGAACAACACCAATGAACTGGTGTACAGTGGTCGCTGCTATTGGCCAAAGTTCGAAAAATTAAAATTAGATATTTATTGTCAAATGTGTACACATGGACTCTTAAGGGGTTAAGCTTTTTAGAAAACATAATAATCGTGGCTTCATTCTAACGGTCCACTTCGAGAATAGCATAAAAAAGTGAAAATGTAGTTAGTTGCGTTTTGTCAGTGGGATCAGTGCAAAAGTGGAGTGAAAATTGAACTGTATTACAAAATTAAATATATTTAAAATGACAAATCTTGGCATAATTATTGAAAAGCAAGGTATTGACTTTTTTAGTGCAGGTATTTGTTTGTTTAATAGTTGTGTATAATATAGAAGATGTGCGTGTTCTAAATTGCCTTTAAGATTAGTTTCCCCCCTGAATCCTCCAACGTGATTTTTCACGCTATTAGTAATGTTAGGATTCTAAAAGTGCTAATTCAACTCTCAGATTTTGTCAGATGTGTATGTTATGCCCATACTGAAGTGACTTCGCTGCAATTTTGTCAGTTTTATTTTGAGCTTATCTGCGGAAACAACAGGGATTGTTAAAAATATTATTGAGAGGTATTCAATATTGTTGCATGCATTGTCATCTGGGTACAATAATAATGTCGAAAGAATTAAGGCCTTTGCACTGGAAACCGCTAAAGAGTTAACAAATAGATATCCATGGTACTATCTTCCACCCATAGTACATGCAATTTTTTTACATCCATCCGACATTATAAAATATGCCATGGTATCGATTGGAGTATTATCGGAGAAGACCTTGGAGTCTATAAACAAAGATCCAAAAAAGTTTTAGACTAAATCATACGCGAAAAAAATCTCGTGTTTCAATAAATACAGATCTTAATTAATTTTTCTGAGCTCTCAAACTTTTATAACGGAACATATATATATATATATATATATATATATATATATATATATATATATATATATATATATATATATATATATACATTAATAACTTTGATTTAATTTTATATTGAATTGTTATTTTTGTTTACAAACAAAATTTTAAATAATAAAATTTAGAATTGATTTGTTTAAAAAAATACTTCTTTTGTTGGAGGTACCTTTACAGGGGGACTCTACCTGAAGGCGGGCCATTCCAAATAATTTAAACAAGTAAAAAAGTAGTAAGTTCGGGCGGGCCGAACTTTGAATACCCTCCACCATTTGGAACGAATTAGAAAATTTTCAAAAAAGTAAAATTCATTAATTTTTTTTTTAAATCTTTACAATATCTAATATAGGAAGGTGCGATATATGGGGGTATATATGATATTGTGGACCTAATAAGACAAATCTATGTCTGGGTGTAAAGTACTCACAAGGAACTCCTTGTGTGGATTTTCAGACAATTCCATTGGAAAAAGTTGTAAAATCATCAAACTACTGAATATCGGGGCGTACCGTTATATGTGGTATATACGATATTGTGGACCTATATAGACAATTCCCTTTCAGGGGGTAAAGCGCTCACAAAGAACTCCTTGTGTGGATTTTCTGACAATACGATTTGAAAATGTGTGTATAGAGAATTCTCTGTCGGGGGTTAAAGTGCTCACAAAAACCCCTTGTGTACAATTTCCGTTGAAAAATGTAGCTAAAATCATCAAAATACCGAATATCGAGGGTACCGTTATATGGGGGCTATACGATATCGTGGACCTGTAGAGATAATTCTCTGCCGAGGTATAAAGTACCCACAAGGAACTCCTTGTATGGATTTTCAGACAATACGATTTGAAAATGTGGGTAAAATCATCAAAATACCGAATATCGGGGGTACCGTTATATGAGGGATATACGATATCGTGGACCTATATAGATAATTCTGTGCCGAGGTATAAAGTACCCACAAGGAATTCCTTGTGTGGATTTTCAGACAATTCCGTTGAAAAATTTGGCTAACATCATCAAAATACCGAATATCGGGGGGTACAGTTATATGGGGGATATACGATATCGTGGACCTATATACACAATTCTTTTTCAGGGGGTAGAATACTCACAAGGGACTCCTTTTGTGGAATTTCAGACACTAAATGTGGCTAAAATCGTCAAAATACCGAATACCGGGGAGTACCGTTATTTGGGGGCTATACGATATCGTGGACCTATATAGACATTTCTCTCTCAGGGGGTAAAGTATTCACAAGGAAGTACTTGTGTGGATTTTCAGACAATTCCGTTGAAAAATGTGGCTAAAATCGTCAAAATACCGAATACCGGGGAGTACCGTTATTTGGGGGCTATACGATATCGTGGACCTATATAGACATTTCTCTCTCAGGGGGTAAAGTATTCACAAGGAACTACTTGTGTGAATTTTCAGACAATTCCATTGAAAAATGTGGCTAACATCTTCAAAATACCGAATATCGGAGGGTACCGTTATATGGGGGCTATATTTAAGCTGATCAGGAATATATATACTTTGTTGGGTCTAAAATGATTATTTCGATGAGTTACAAACGGAATGACGAACTTAATATACCCTCCATACTATGTATGGTGGAGGATATAAAAACGATTATTCTTTAACTCCTTAGAATGTAAAATAACAGAACAATCTGGTGTGGAAATGTGACAAGAATTCGGCAAAACTCTTATTCGGAAGGTACGTTGTAAGGGGACCATGCCAAAACATACACCGAGTTGCACCATTTTGTCACATTTCTTATTTTTATGTCATCAAGGTACCTAACCAAAGATTCATATTGATATCTGCACTGAAAGTATTTTCGGCCGCTGTTCCCATATGACCACGACCACTGTGCAGTGTAAGGCTTTTCAATCACAATGGCAGTTTTTCTTTGTGCTTACAAGGCCTGTCAGTGAGAGTTTGCAAATTTCTTCTTGCAATCACCTGTAACTCTTCTTCTTCTCATTTATAAACATTCAATCAGATGTTTTCTATTGTTTGTTTATTTCTTTTTGTGCTTCCAATTTAGAAATATTTTTTTGAAATCAGCAAGACTAATTGTTTTTGGAGAACAACTTTACAAAATGGGAAAAAACGTAAATATTAACATGTAACAAAAAAGTAAAATCTATTTTTAGACAAACGCTATTAGCAACGCGTTTAAAGGATTCCGGGAACACATCAAATCTATATTTTTTTTTTTGCTAATATTTTTATTTTATTGCTAATTTCCTTTTTCATTTATAAAACCTGTAAAATTGGTGGTGTTTCCTTTCTTTTTCTTCTTTTAACGGGGGACAAATTGGTTTGTTTTGACAAATCAGCTGATTATTTGCAAGCTTCTGCAGGAATTCCGTCTGTTTACTTTTTGGCATTTTCCTTGCAAAAGAGAATTTTAATTCTTTAAATGTGGGACAAATTGGTTTGTTTTGACAAATCAGCTGATTATTTGCAAGCTTCTGCAGGAATTCCGTCTGTTTACTTTTCGCATTTGCCTTGCAAAAGAGAATAAAACTCCCTTACTTTCTCAGAAAGTATTTGCAGGATAATTCCTGCTGGAAAACTAACCAGACACACCTATTGCATCATTGCCTTCCCAACATACCAAAAATACAATACAGCTTGAGAATAATATTATGAAAATAGTTTATCATAAGAATTTTTCAACAATGCTTGAGAAACACTTTTTTGCACAAACTTTTCTCAAATCTGTCCTTTGTTGACAAATTTGTTTTGATTTTTTTTGTGAAAATTGTCAACAAAAAATTATTTTCTTTGGTTAAAATCAAAATCACGCGAATTTAGGACCATTTCCGGACGAAACTCTAAGGTAATGACGAATAATAAATCTGGGAATCTGTAGTGTATATTTTTTCAATCTCATTTCAGAATAGAGGCGTCAAAAAGTTGCAAGAATTCAAGAGATGTGAAGAATTAGTGGAGGAGATGCGGAAGCTCAAATAAGGGGAAAGAAAACATCTAGGTATCAATGCAACAGGAGGCAGCGACAGCTGGGATGGCGATCAATGAATGAAATGTGTAAAATAATTAAAAAAATTAAAAAATAAATATTTTATACCATTGAAAAAATAAGCTTGATATAATATTACTTTCGTAAGCTTATTCTGCAATTACAAGAATAAGCTTATGAATAAGGGTTCCCTTTCGATTATTCTACAATTGTTAAACAAGCATTTCTCAATACATTCTCAAGATTTTCTCAAGCTTAAGGCTTATGTTTGAAAGCTTATTAAAATATTATTCTCAAGTCAATTTGGTATGTTGGGTTACAATATCACTTTGTAATAGTATATGTATGCATAGGGAACATTGATATGTCAACATTTTTAAAATGTTTTTTTTTTAATTAGTAGGTTTTTATGTGTTTTCTTATACGACGTCATGCAGAGGTTGTTATGATTTGCATTTTTCAACAATTTTTACGAATTTTAATAATTTTTCATTCAAAAATTTTAATTGCAAAATTGGTTGACAGTTCATTGTCTCAGCAGCTGTGTCGATGCGACCATATCAATAATGATATTAGGTGTGTCTGGTTACTTTTCCTCCAGGAATTGTCCAGCAACATCTTTCTGGGAGAGTAAGGTAGTTTTATTCTCTTTTGCAAGGAAAATATGAAAAGTAAACAGACAGTGTTCCTGGAGAAGCTTGCAACTAATCAGCTGTTTTGTCAAAACAATCCAATTTGTCCCCCATTAAAAGAATTAAAAGAAAGGAAGCACCACCAATTTTACAAGTTTTATAACCAAAAAGAAAATTAGCAATTACATAAAAATATGAGTAATAAAAGAAGGATATATTTGATGTGTACCCGGAATCCTTTAAACGTGTTGCTAATGGCGCTTATCTAAAAATGTTGGAAATAGTCGCTTATTTTCTTATTACATATTAATATTTATGTTCTTTACATTTTGTAAAGTTGTTCTCCAAAAACAATTAGTCTTACTAATTCCAAAAAAATATTTTCAAATTAAAAGCACAAAAAGAAATAAACAAACAATAGAAAACATCTGGTTGAATGTCGATGAAGGAGAAGAAGAAGAGTTGCAAGTGATCGCAAGAAGAAATTTGTCCAGCAAAAATTTGCAAACTCTCACTGAAAGAACTGTCAAAATTTCTCTCTCCGACCGCTCTCTTTTGCAGAACTTTCGGGTTAACAGACGACTTCCAGTAACAATTGTTACAAACTTTAGGGTAACCAGACACACCTATTGTATATCATCACTTGTAAGTATGTATGTATGCACTTGTTTGGCAAAATAAACAAACGGTTACTGCTGGTAAATACAATTTCGGCGTATGTTTCCAAATTTTAAATCATTAGTAAATATAATAAATATAATTTCATTCCAAAAAGAATGGAACAATTTTCTTCAGTATAGTGAGAAGATGAACACATGACATATGTGCATACTAAGTGGAAGTGTCATTGTGTAGTCATGGCAACTGAATTTCCATAAAAATGTTACATTTATTTGCGAAATAAGCACAAGATTCGATATTATCACATCCAAGTTCAGCATATTTGGTTTTTTTTTTTTCATACCATTTCACGAATTCAGGTCAACTGATTTAACAACAATATTTGCAACGATTTTGGAATGACCAATGTCGCGAAAACATTAAAAATTTGGAGATACAAAAGCCGACGATACACCTGCGAGGTTTAATACGCACTGACAGACAATAGAATGGAGGGTGGAACTGAAAGTATAGCATGTAATTACAACGTAGATCACTTAGCAACGTCTGACATAAAACACAACGAAAAACGATGGCTGGCTTGTGGTTTTAATCAGTTTGGTCAGTTAAGCAAATTTCATGACGAACGGATAATACGATATTTTAAAGGTAGTTAATATTTTAAATTTATAGTTTTTGTGGAGTTTAAAAATTGATCTTTAACATTATTTAGAAATTGATGTCAGAGCCACACACTTAATATCTTCATGGAGCTATGTGGCGGCCGCCAATGGATGCTCCCTACAAATAAGGGGTTTAATTAACAGCCGAACAAAAAGTGAGAAACTTATAAAAGCTGAAAATGAAATAAAATGTTTAGCTGGTTGTGATAGATACTGCTTAATTTTATTAAATAACGGGACGGTATATAAATATGGAATTCAGTGCGAAGATGGTTTGAAAGAAGTCATATTCCAAAGCAATGAGAGTTTTACACCAAAAAATAAATCTATCTTTGGAAAGACGACATCAGCCTGCGCTTCAAAAGTTAAAATAGAGAAAATAGCGTGTGGAAACAATATTATGATAGCTTTAGGCTTGTCTAATGAAGTATTTACAGGCACTACCCAGGTGCATTGTTTTCCTAAGCACGTTAGGTCCAAACAATTGGTATGTGGTTTTGAACATGCCCTGATGTTGACTCACAATGGAGATATTTACGCATGGGGTAATGGATTGTAAGTATGGTTTTTGAAATATTTCGCAATGTAAAGAAACCCACTCTTTTTACTGAACACTTTATTCATTTGTAGACGAGGTCAATTGGGACTGGGTGTTATAGGAGTTGAGGAGAAACCCGTACTCATAGAAGCAATAGCAGGAATAAAGGTAAATTACCTGTGATAAATACGCTTGATGTTGCAAAGCACATATCGTAGTCGATATTTTTTGTTATTATGTACGACCTAACGGTTTTTAATAGTTATTTCTATGAATGCTTAACTGGAAATATATACTTATAAAGTAATGTGCAATGTAAATACAAAAAACTAAAGTTTTAATGATTAAGAGTAACTTATTTGTGTCCTGTTTTTCTCTGTTATATAGGGATTGCGTACAATATGTTAATTTTTGGTATTGAAGATAGAAAATACCTACAGCAAAGACAATAATATAATCAATATGATGATGTAAGGTGTTCAAAACAAACAGTCAACATTTACCACGCTATTTATTTGTTACTGACAATTAATGGTTTTCAATAACCGACATGTGTTCACCATTCCCAATAGAATTATGGTATAAACAATATACATTTTATTTTTCAGACTTTATTATTATTAATAGGTCTTCCCCACTATGCTAAAATGTTTCGTATTAGTCAAATACGCAAGGACAATATACCAATCCAACTTAACAAAACCTCTTTATGCTATCGGAATAGTTTTTAACACTTTCTAAGCATCGGTTATTTCCAATACAGTTATTGAAAATTATACTAAGATATTCTACAGATCTTAGGTCATTTTTTTATTAAAAACATTATTATATTATCAAGACCAGAGGAACTTTTAATCAAAAAGCCAATTTCTTTTATAACATTAGCTATCGAAGTAAAGGTTGAATTGGAGTATTTTAAAGGCAAAAGAATTTTTAACTATGATGTTTCATTCTCATTACAGATAATATGCATAGCAGCAGCAGGATGGCACAGTGCTGCCATATCAGCATTCGGTGATATTTACACATGGGGATTCAATTCGAATGGTCAACTTGGAATAAAAATGTATAAGAATTGTACAATTAAAGAACCCGCCATATACGTCGTGCCACAAGTAGTTGATATAATGGAATTAACATGTTGCGACAACAAGGAACAAGATTGTTTTCCAACTAAAATAGCAACTGGAGCCAGACATACAATGGTGGAAATGAATTGTGGTGCTGTATATGCTGCAGGTTGGAATGCATATGGGCAGTTGGGTTTACCAAACAACGAGTTATATACTGATCATTTTCAATATGTGCTAAAATTCAAAAATTGTAAAGACAATGTGGAGATTGTAAGTGGGTCATGGAATACATTGATTGGAACGCGTGAGTCAAGCAAAAGGGAAATTAATGAGAATATATAGTAGATTTATAGCCTGTTCACCAAATTTATTTTTCTTCCAATTGTAAGGCGAATGGCAGACAAATAGAATTTTTGGTTTCGGTACGTAAATAAACAAAAAGAGCTTTTTCTATAGGCAAATTTTAATTCACCTAACTCCAACACAAACAAAACTATATGCCAAAGTAGACAATCAAAAAATATCAATCGTTCACTCATAAAAAGTCAGCAAAGTAAACTATTTTGTTTGAAAATTGATATTTCACACAAAATGTATGGTTAATTTCATCCGCTGTGCTGTGTCGATTCCAATATGTGCGCTTCTTCGCTGTTCTCAACTCTAACCCCACGCAAAATTAGGCGCAAATTGGTATATAATTATGACCTGAGAGACTACAAAATCTAAAAAATTTTTTTTGGTTCATTTCAAGACCTAAAGGTTTTTATTCTGACCCGACTTAACGCAAAATTTCGTGAGGTTTGAGTCATAACTGTTACCTTTAGCGCGATTACAAATAAAAAAGGGACAGACGGACACACATAGTTAAATCGACCCAGCTCGGCGACCAATATTTCGAGGTGGGTTGATATTTCCGCCACCACCATTTACACTTTTATTTGAAATGGAGAATCCAAAAAAAAAAAAAAATGCAAAATCCTCAATCCCCATTGAAATTATGGGGATTATGACCTTTTTTTCGGTGATAATACCCATAATCCAAATAATAAAGTATGACCGTTTGCTGTGTGGACTACGTACAAAAATAATTAATTTTAGAAATCTTTGATTCTGTGTTGGAAGCGTACACTATCCCCACATTATTATTATGACCAAAAACAAACCGGGCATAATCCCCATAATTGCAATGGTGTTTATGTCCGGGCACCGACACGCCACGACTAAAACCAACGGACGTAATAATTTAAAAAAAAATATATTAAACAAATTTTCTTTTTGGAAACATCAACAATTTTTTGACAGTGGGGCAATGGGTACAATGAGCTTTTACTCCCAGACGAAAAAAGTAAATAAACTGAAATAAAAACTTGATTGTCTGGGTATCAATTGCTTGTCTGCCTTAAACAAACCCAACATACCAAAATGGCTTGAGAATAATATTACAATAAGCTTATGAACATAAGCCTTACAGCCTGTTCCACGATGTCGAAAGAACACGTTCGCACAACTTTTACACGACAAACAGCTGATTTCCGTTCCACTAAAATCCATCAGAACGAAAATTTGCACGAAAATCAAAGCGAACGAAAACGTAAGCGTTTCAGTGTAATTTTGCGTTCCACTATCTTTTTTCTTTCGTACGCATGCGAACACAAATGTCAAAATCAGTCACTTGTGTGTTTTCTGTCGAATGATAAAAATTAAGGAAAATTGTTTTAACATAAACATTCCTTGATTGAAAATGGAAAGAAAAATGTAAGTAAAAATAATAAATGCAATTTAATCTGTGAACAACAAATATACATTTTTTTATTTTCTCAATTCCAGCACGAAAAAACTACACAGCTGCGGGCACTAGTTGAGTATATGGGGGAGAATCCTAAGTTCGGCAGAGGAGTGCCAATTTTTGGAAGCAGCAGGCAATCCCATGAAGACCACTGGAAGACCCAAACCTAGAAAAAATCATTTTTTTATTATTTCAAAAATGTAAAAATACAATCATACTTACTGGTTGTTAGGTACTTCAAATAAATTCGAAGCATCTCTTAAATGCCTCCGTGGCACAATTTGAACCTCCTCCTCATCATCCATAAAAAATAGGGCTACAGAAATATACATTTTTTTCTTTTTTAAGAACACAAATAATCTGAACACAATCACTAGAAATTTTATTTTGTTTGTTTATTTACAATTTGTTTGTTTACAACTGAACTGTCAGTTGAGACAGAGCCACTGCTGCTTTTTCGCGTTTAAATTAGACATTTGGCGCTTTTTTTGCCTTATTTCGCGATTAATTTTGCCAAAAAATATTTTGCAACACTGAATCACGTAAGGCTATGCGAAAGAAAGAACGAAAGTTAGTGGAACGCATTCTTATGCGAAAGTGAGTGAGTAGCCTTCGTTCGCACAAATTTTCTTTCGAGATCGTGGAACAGGCTGTTAAGCTTGAGAAAATCTTGAGAAAACATTGAAAAATGTTTGTGTAACAAGTATAGAATAATCGAAACGGAACCCTTATTTATAAGCTTATACTTGAAATTGTAGAATAAGCTTACAAAAATAATATTATAATAAGCTTATTTTTGTAATAGTATATAATATTATTATTTTTTTAATTTTTAATCATTTTTTCACATTTTTTTCTTGATGGACATCCCAGTAGTCACTGCCTCATGTGGCCTTGATACCCTGACGCTTTCTTCTCCCTTATTTGAACTTCTGCATCTCTTCCACTAAGACTACACATCTATTGAATTCTTTCAACTTTTTTGATGCTTCCAATCTGAAATGGGAATTGAATAATTTATGTGAAAGATTCCCGGATTTATTATTCATGCATACCTTAAGGGTTCGGTCCAGAAATGGGTCCTAAATTCGCGTGATTTTGTTTTTTGCCAAAGAAAATAATTTCTTGCTGACAATTTTCACATAAAATCAAAACTAATTTGTCAACAAGGGACAGATTTGAGAAATGTTTGTGGAACATAAGTGTTTCTCAAGCATTGTTGAAAAATTATATTTTTATAATATTGTTCTCAAGCTGTATTGTATTTTTGGTATGTTGGGAAAGAGTTGTGATCAGGCTATTAATGTATAATTATTATTACTTGTATTTTTTATGTATATAAATATAAGTTTTATATATCCTAATAAGTTCAGATGACACGTACGTTTATTAACAATCCTGGTTTGAGTCCATTGTTTTTATTGCACTTTTGATTGAAATCAGGCAGAAGCAATCACAAAAACTATGGCGGTAGAAGTCAGCGAAAAATTGTTTTGAGAAAACGGTCTTCAAACTGCCCTAATTTTATTATGTGGACTTTAAACATTTATATTTTTGTACTTGTTCAAACTTTTATTTATTTTTAATGTGAGCTCTTATATTTTTTGTCTCTCTTAACAAATAAAATGTTTTATAAGTATACATGTATACTTTCGTTAAAAATTAGGACCAAATATAAAATTATAAAATTGTACGTTAACATAATATAGTTTGTAATATATATCGCATAAGCACGTAAGATTGATTGAATATTTTACACAATGATAAGATGGAATAATTGTTAATTTGCAATTTAAATAACATACTATAACAGACTATCAGGTAGTTTTTGAGATTTAATGAAAAAATACTAACACAATTGTTGAGTTTTTATTACAAGTCAATTTAGAGTCGGAATGCATTCGGAATGTATAGGTGGAATGTTATCAGCTGATGTTGGCCTGCTATCATTGTTCTGCTCGAAGCTATTTTCTGCACTTGTGTTGGTTACACTCGTTAAACTGGAATCATTAAAAATGCTTAAATTTGGCACATCCGCGTCGTCATCATCAATATCGTCGTCGTCCGAATTGTCAGTCTCGTTATCAATTTCTGAAAGTTGTGTATTCATCTCATGGCCCATGGATTCTACCACACAGGGTACTTCGTTAGATGCTATATCAATGCTTCTAGAGTTTATTGGACTGTTGGCATAAAAATTTAATGCCACCGATGGCACATCATCCTCCAAGTTATTCACATCATGGGATACGTCTCTTTCGCCATTTAAATTTAAGGCGCTTATTGCTGGCAGGTCTTGACTTGTTTGCACATCATCAATATCATTGGAGGGTAAACAGGCTTCTGTGCTACGTGTATCTGGAATATGTATGCCATTGTTTTCATCAGTTGACTGAGATAAAATGACCGAATTTCCAATTAAAAAGCTTAATTTCGGAGTAGAATCGTTTCTAATGCTGTTGGAGGACTTCATTAGTAAGGAAAAATTCGGCAAATTATCTGTTGTTATTGACGAGGCTTCACCATTCGATGTTTCAATAGAATTCGCTTCACGTTGATTTGTCAAAGTGGCTGTTGGCTCAGTGTTTTCAGGTTGCCGAGGCTGAGTATTTTGTAGCATTTGTTGCTTCATCAGCCTTGCTGATCGTAACAATCGTGGGGGTGGTTTTGGGGCCTCAGCGTTATCGTTGTTAGAAGAAAATGATGGTGCAAAATATTTATCAATTGGGCCCTTATATTTAGTATAGTAATCTTTATTGTTGTCCATTGTACTACTCTCAAAATTGGCATTCTGTTGTAGCAATTCAGTGCCAGGATAATATTGGCTGTCCTCTACAATATCCTTAACGTTGGCAAATATTGAAGAAGGAAATCCACAAGAAATTTCGGCGGCCGGACCCTCTATTGGCCTTGGAGGTTTTTCCTCTACAAAATCAAACGACATTATTGTAAAATTATGCTTAGAAACTGTATATAGAAGAAAAAGATTTAAACAATGGTAGCCTTAAGGAGGTGACGGCATATACCCTCCAGCCAGTCTAAAGTTGTTACCGTTTAATGTGAAAATAAGCAAATTGATTTTAACTACAAGTATATTTTCTATAAATGGAATGGATGCGAACTATGTACTATTTTTTTTACTAAAGGCCTCCATCGCCTAAAATTGCATGTAAAATAAATATTACCTTTTAGTAATGTTTCTGCTACATAATCAGCGCCACGAAACAAATGAGCTTTTACAAGTAAATATAATAGTAAGCCTAGGGTAGGGCGTTCATGTTTTCGTCCAGAAGTACCCCACTCATCAAACAACAACTCGGCACACAATTCTCCTGTCCGTTTATAGGCATTTTGTATAAGACGTATATGATCATTGTTGTATTTTCTTTCACTGATAGCTAGGGGAGCACTGGAGTACACATCATCATAGATGTTACATGATGGACCATAGAGTTTATTATTTATAGTTTTTGGTATGCTTTCCATCAATTTTTGCCAATAGTTGTTATCATCTAAAATGACGGCCAATTGGTACAAATCGTTTGATTGTACATTTCTCAGTTCCGTATCTCGCGTATAATTTGCCGACATTCTATCACGCCTCCTTTATATATATCTTTGGTGGTTTACGTTAGATTTTGCTATGTATTATTTCTACTATCATAGCCAATACACATCCAGCATCATATTTTAATAAATAACAATTTTCACGAAAATAATCAACAAGTTACTTTACTACACCCTTGGCAGCATTAATAGATCTCATATTACCGTCAGCTGTTTACTTTTAACGTCAAAACATTCCACATTTGTATAGTTCATAATGAACAAGTCCAATTGAACGAAGAATAAAAAGGTAGTTGAAAGCATGGCACAATTACAGAAAGTAGAACAAAGCTACCCCCTAAATACACATTTTGTGTATTGTTTTGAATAAAATATACATAATATACGTTAATGGGTAACACATTGTAAAATTCTAGGATAAAACTATATTGACCTACTATTAAAGATTCAACCTTGTTGAATAACCCCAAAATTCCATTCTTGTTTCCGGGTTTTCCCCAACATAAGCATTTTGTTAAAAAATAAACAAAATCAACTGTTCCATATCTAAAAGTCTATTTGACACTACAAGGCTCCAGCATTGTGTTGCATTTTTTTAGTTTCTTTGAAGTTAAGCAACCTTTCGTATTGGCCATCGTTAAAGTGCCCCGTAGTAACGTTTTTTTTTTAAAGAGAAAAGGTGCATAGCAGCGAAAGAAAATAAACGAAACGAATAAAGTACTGTACACACGAAGTAAAAAATTTTAAAATTATTTTAAATCGTTTTGCACGTTAAACAAAACAATACCACAAACATTTCAATGCCAGAAGTACACAAACAATACGATAGCTTTAATGAACTTCGACTGTGATCTGCCAAACGTTTGCTGTGTGATATTATAACTGCTACATTTAGAGTCGTCAATCTAAATACTGTTTTTGACACTGTTTACATTGTATGATGGAGGTTATAAATGAATAAAAAGGCATGAATTTAAATTAATATTAGTTTTCTTTGTTTATAATGAGGTAATATACAGAGAAACGTTTGTAATAAGTTTTGTTGTTGCTTCATCCAGGAGACTACGAATAAAGTACTGTACACACGAAGTAAAAAATTTTAAAATTATTTTAAATCGTTTTGCACGTTAAACAAAACAATACCACAAACATTTCAATGCCAGAAGTACACAAACAATACGATTGCTTTAATGAACATCGACTGTGATTTGCCAAACGTTTGCTGTGCGACATTATAACTGCTACATTTAGAGTCGTCAATCTAAATACTGTTTTTGACACTTTTTACATTGTATGATGGAGGTTATAAATGAATAAAAAGGCATGAATTTAAATTAATATTAGTTTTCTTTGTTTATAATGAGGTAATATACAGAGAAACGTTTGTAATAAGTTTTGTTGTTGCTTCATCCAGGAGACTACATTTCAGTTTTGTTTTTGTTTCCACTCATCTACGCAAACAGTACAAAATACAAAACAAGTCCTGTTATCCTAATACCGGTTTTGTTTTGTTTCGTACTTCAAGAAAATACGGAACAAAATGATTGCAAACGTTTAGTAAAGTTTATTTTCGTACGCTGATAACAGCGAAAGAAAACAAACGAAACGAATAACGTACTGCTCACACGAAGTCACAAACTTTAATTTTTTTGAATCGTTTTTATTCAAAACAACCACAAACATTTCAATGCCTGAAATACACAAACAATACGACTGCTTTAATGTACTTCGGTACTTTGTAATAGTACAAAATAAAAAACAAGTTCCGTTATCTTAATATCGGCTTTGTTTCGTTTCGTACTTCGAGAAAATACAGAACGAAACGATTGCAATCGATTGATATAGTTTATTTTCGTACGCTGTTTTTGAGATGATGGAAGTTTACGGGTCGTTGCCAGCACTTTGGGATGTTAAATGTGAAAAATATAACAATCGGGCTAATAAAGAAAATTAATATGAATTATTGATGTCGAAAATTAATTGGAGACTAAACTAGGCTTAGTAATTCCTCGTAAGTAAAACTATCCAACCTTAAAAATTTCGTTTGGCGATGACGCTTTTAATTCAAGTAATAAACTGTTAGTATGATTTTTTTGTACATTTTTATACCCTCCACAATACTTTGGAGGGTATATTAATTTTGTCATTCCGTTTGTAACTCCTCGAAATACTCATGTCAGACCCAACAAAGTATATATATTCTTGATCAGCGTAAAATTGTAAGTCGATTGAGCGATGTCCGTCTGTCTGTTGTAATCACGCTTTCTTTCGAACTAATTGAGATAGATGGCTAAAATTTGGCACACGTGTTTATTTTGCCAGTAGACAGGTTAAGCCTCCATATAACGGCACCCGCTGATATCCGATATTTTAATGATTTTAGCGACATTCTTCACCGGAATTGTTTCAAATTTGGTATTTGAAGTATGTAATGGATACTACAGGAGGAGTAGTTTTAAATTACGCATTTAGAGTTCGTAGGGTGCAGGTCCAGGTCTTCGTTTAGGCCACATATATCAGTACCTCCCAATATTCGATATTTTCATGATTTCAGCGTCTTTATTACCGAAGTAGTTTCAAATTACGTATTTAGAGTTCGTAATGGGATCTACAGTCTATAGATCCTGTCTATGCAGGTACAGGTCTTCGTATAGGCCCCATATATCAGTACCTCCCTATATTCGTTATTTTGACGATTTTAGGTACAATACTCACCGAAATTGCTTGAGATGTCGGATTTGAAGTTGGTAATGGATGCAACAGCCTGTGACAGAAAATTTGCTATGCAGGTCCAGGTCTTAGTATAGCTCCGATATTACGGTACCTCCCTATATTCGGTATTTTGATGAATTTAGCTGGATTATTTACCGTTTTTTCAAGTTTCGAATTTGAATATGGTAATGGCTTATGACAAACTATGCCTATGTAGGCCCACGTCGTATAAACCCCAATATGTTTTTAAATTTTTAACAGAGTTTTTAACTGATTTTATTTTTGGAAAATTTCCAAATGGTCGAGGGTATTCAAAGTTCGGCCCGGCCAAGCTTACTGCTTTTTAACTTTATTTAGGTTCTGTCATTTCTCTTACTTCTTCGTCTTCGTTTTTCTACCCCACACCATACATTTTTTTTACCCCACACCATACATATGGTCTGTTCCAGTGCCTGCAAGAATCTACTAGTTTTGCAATTTTCTTCGATATCATAAAGGGAAAATCGGTTATCGTAGTAAAAACTTTTACATTCTTGCAGTTCTGGAACAAACCAATAGTCATTCCGTTTGAAACTCATCGAAATAATCATTTTAGACCCAACAAAGTATATATATTCTTGATCAGCGTAAAAGTCTAAGACAATTTAGCCCTGCCAGTCTGTCCATCTGTTGTAATCACGCTTCAGTCAAAGCGAATTAAGGTAGGAAGCTAAAATTTTGCACAGATCTCTCTTTTGTCTGCAGGCAGGTCAAGTTTGAAGATGGGCTATATCGGTCCACGATATCGTATAGCCCCCATATAACGGTACTCCTCAATATTCGGTATTTTGATGATTTTATCTACACTTTTCAATGGAATTGTCTGAAATTCCACACAAGGAAATTTTGACATTTTATTTGGTTTTTAAAACATGCAGGAATACCTTGTTATTGCGCGATTTTCATGACAAATCTAGAAAAAATTATGGTACTATGAACTGTCCATGGCAGAAGAATACAAGTAGACGCATCGACACAGCTGCTGCGACAATGAACCGTCAAACCAATTTTGAAATTGTACTTTTTGAATGAAAAACTATTCAAATTTGTAGAAACTGTTAAAAAATGCATACCATAACAACCTCCGATTGGCGTCACATATGAAAACATATATAAATCTACTTATTTTTGAAGAAACATTGAAATATTTTTGACATATATATATGTTCTCAATCGTTGATACATATACCTGTATTCTTTTACCATGGAACTGTCCAAATACTTCAGACGAAACGTCAAACTTTTTTACGTTTATATATTCTTTCGATTTTCATGACAAATCTGTTTAAAATGATGGTACCATGGCAGAAGAATACAGGTAGATGCATCAACGCTTGGGAGCATTGATATGTCAAAAAAATTAAATGTTTTTTTAAATATAAGTAGATTTTTATATGTTTTCTTACACTACGTCATTCGAGAGGCTATTATAATTCGCGTTTTTCAACAATTTTATAAATTTAAATAATTTTTCTACGTTTATATATTCAAAATCAATGCAACAAGTTGTTTTATTTATTTGGTAATAAACTATTTGTTGAATTTGTTTTGATAGTAATTCTGACATTACAATCCATTATGGAAGGCCTATTTAATTTCCAACTTAGCCAACCTTCTCTTCCGTGGTAGAAGATTACTTTGATGTGTCAAAAATTTTAAAATGTTTTTTTTTAATAATTACAAATTTATAAGATTTCTTATACGACACCCATGGTACAATAAGGAGGTAGAACAGGTTCGTAAAACTGCAGAAATAGAGCCCTGAGGCTATGCCCGCTTACTGTCGGACTCGTTCAAAATTATATGTCACAAGTTGTTTTCATTTTTTCATATTTTTCCAGATTTTTAAAATGAAATGTCTGGATTTTCCCTCGAAAATATGATCCAAACTGTTTAATCTTTCAATTTCATGGCTAAATTGGTTAATAGCTTAAATGCGCGAGCCGCAATCTACGTGTCTTCCTACCATTGGTTTTAAAAATATTTTGTTTTCATTTTTCAAAACAATAAATACATACAAAAAATTGGTCGGGCACACTTAGAAAAAAATTGTAATCAGATGATAGCTCTACCTTACCTTTTTATTGTACCATGTACGACACCAATCGGAAATTCTTATAATATACAAGAACCCCTTATATACTCCTAATACCGATTTTGAAACAAATCCTATAGAAAATGTCGTTATGGAATCGTTAAAATACCGAATGTCAAGAGAAAATGTCAACCTATATAGACAACATTTTGACAAAGAAGGTAGAACTCATTTCGAAATCTAAGTACCGAATTCTCCTATACGAAAAAACCAGCCACAAGCTGGCTTATGTCAGCCAATTATGCGTTTTATGTATTTCCACCCTTATCGTCTGATAGCAGCTTAAGGGTGGGAATACATAAAGCGCATATTTGGCTGGCTTAAGTCATCGGCTGGCTTCTTCGTAGAGGAACAAAGGAGTTTTAGGTTGACTTAGTTCGATTTTGGCCCTAGGCTCCTTTGTTCATTTCCAAAGAAGCGTTACGAGCACGTGTTGAGAGTGACAAAGCAAAACTGCACATTTTTTTCTAAGCGCAATAATTATTGTCAAAAAAAAAAATAAATTTATTGAATAAAAATAAACTTGCAGGCATCACATTGCAGTATTTGTTGCATAAAGATGCCTGGCACTGTTCCACCAGACATGGACTGTGATGTCGTTGAAGAGGAAGTGGCGTCAACATCCAATGGTGCTGTGTTTACAATTAATAACAAAGTTGCGGCAAACAAGAATACCAACGACAGAAAGAGGCAGCGGATTGATAAATGCAACTTGCCAATTAACGTTGATATATCAGATTTATCTAAAAGATTGTCAAGTCATAATCCAAGCGATCAAAACAAATATGGCATTTTGGGAGTCCTAGCCGACATGGATATTGAGGGCACACCTCCTGTAAAAAAAACCAAAATTCCTGCCGAGGATGGAGCGAAGAAGCCTGTAAAAACAAAATGGTGCCCACCAATTTTTGTTTTTAACGTTAATATCAAAACACTGATTGATAAGTTAAAAGATACAATACCTCCAGGCACATTTAAAATTAAAAACATTAATAAAAATAAAAGTAAAATTTATTTTTCAGACCCCACTGTTCATTTGTCAATGATGTCAATTCTCAGGGATAAGAATATACATTCATATTCTTTTACACCAAAAGAACTCAAGCAGGTTTCGCTTGTACTGCGGGGTCTCTATGGAAACTACGATGATGATTATGTAAAATCAGAATTGGACCAAATCGCGCCAAACACTGTTGCAAATGTGACAAGGTTCAAAACAAAAATGTCCATCAAGAAACAATTGGACACTGGGCTTTATCTAGTATCTCTTTTGCCAGGAAAAACGTTAGGTGATATCTCCCATATAAACGAATTTGAGTACACAACAATTTGGTGGGAAAAACCGAAGAAAAAGGACAATGACATTCAATGTCACAGATGCCAGAGGTGGGGCCACATCTCTCGGAACTGTAATTCCGCATACAAATGCGTTAAATGTGACCAGGAACATGGTCCTGGAGAGTGCAAGAGGAATCCGTCGGATTCATCCAGTCCATATTGCAGCAACTGCGAGGAGTTTGGACATCCGGCTAATTTTAAGGGATGTCCAATGTACAAAAAGTATGCCACCGCCAGACAACAACATCAAAAAAAGATCACTGAAGTCAAAAACCAAGCAATTAGTAACATAAAAGAGGCATTGCGGCCATCTGTAGTATTACCTGGTACTAGTTTTGCCAGTATGCTCAGAACACCACCTTCTGCAAAGACACATCAAAAACATACGCCATCAAAACCAAAAGTAATCGAAGAATTCCTCAAATTAGTGAACGTTTTCTTACAGCCTGAGGAATTATCACTAGAAGAAGAGGTAGATGTATTTCTATCAAATTACAATACAATGACAAAAGTAGAAGCTAAGTCTGAATTTCTCCGGCTTCTAAATAAAGTTAAAAGCACTTATGGACCATAAGTCAATAAGTCTTTTAACATTCAATGTCAGATCTCTCGTCGACAGAAGTAGGCAAATTGATCTGTATAATATTCTACGTCAAAACAATATAGATATTGCATTTATACAGGAGTGTCATTTGAGAAGAAATAGAAGAATTAAAATACCAAATTATCATTTTATACGTGACGATTCATCTGTGGGTGTTGCAGTTGTGATCAAGACCAATTTTATATATAATCGGGTTGTACCTGATAATGTGACATTTTTCACATCGTTAATCAAGACGGAAATCAAAATGAACAACGAAAGACGAAAGTATATAGTTGGTTCGGTTTATATACCATGCCACTACAACACCCAACTTCTTGAAGCCGATTTGAATAATCTCAACACTTTTCTTGATAACTACGACGGATTTATCCTTGGAGGTGATTTGAACTCTCGTAGTCCAGACTGGGGCGACTCCGTTGAAAATTCAAATGGTAAGGTTTTAAAAAAATGGCTAAATGAAAATATTCTGAATGTAAACAGGATCTGTGACTCTTCGCCGTCATACCCTAACGGTCCGTCATATCTAGACCATTTTATTGTCAGTGCCAACCTAGTACACAGTAATCTGGATAACTGTAGAATTTCATCTTTACCTACCTTCTCAGATCACTTTCCAATCAAACTAACTATGGACCTTAGAAGAGTTGAATTCATCATTAAGCCTTCAAGGATGTATACCTCATACAGAGACACAAATTGGAACAGTTTTCAATGTGATATAGACCAAGAAATGGAGAGACTGATGCCTTCTACCAGAAGAAACTTATCCAACCAAGAGATTGATAATCTAATAAGTGAATTCAATAACACCATATCCACACTTCACACTAATCATTCGACCTCTATTGAAATATTAGACTCTAAATTTCCACTGTCTGAACGAACGAGAAAACTGTATAAAATGAAGCACCAATGGCAGAAGGAACTTAAAAAAATTTTCCACAGATGCGGAAATAGACTTAGCCGTGAGTATGCCATTTTATCTAAGCAAATACAATTACTTAAGGTAATAATAAAAGAGTCCGTGAACATAGAACAAGCCAAACATTTCAGTAGCAGGTTGGAAAACATAAAACCTGGTCCATCGGCATTTAAAGAAATATATCGCATTTCTGGCAAAAGAAAATCTCCATTTTGTCAAAGAATAATACATAACAATAACATAATCACAAATACCAATGAAATTGTTGAGTTATTCCAGAACCATTTCTCATCTACTTTTCAACATTCGTCTCCACAACAACCTGTAGCTGACCTTGATGCGAGAATATCCTCTGTCACCGGTGCAGTCCCTGAGCACATTTACTCATTTGATAGCTCCTTTCAATCTCTCAATAACACTGACAGCTTCCACTTCACAAAGGCTGGGGAAGTTAGAAATATTGTCAATAATATCAACAATAAGAAGTCTTGTGGACCAGACGGATTATCAAATTTTATTATAAAAAAACTCCCTGAAACTGCCTTCACTTTTTTGGCAATAATATTTAACAATTGCATAAACAATGGATACTTTCCTACTGCGTGGAAAGCAGCTAAAATAATCCCCATTAAAAAGAAAACTGACAGCGAAACTGTCTCTGATTTTCGACCAATTTCATTGTTATCAAACATTGGCAAAGTCCTGGAGAGGATAATGAAGGGCAAGATTGAAAACGGCTTCATAATTGATCCTGTACCTAATTTTCAATTTGGATTTAAGCAGGGACACTCAACACAACATGCACTCATTAAGTTTCATCACGATATCACCAAAAACCTAAGAAACCAAAAATGTACAGTAGCTATATCACTAGATATAGAAAAAGCCTTTGATTCAGTATGTCACAGTGCCATCTTATATAAACTTGTAGAGCTGGAAACAGACCCATACATTGTTAAACTTATACAGAGTTACCTGTGTAACAGAACGTTTACAGTACAAATTCAAGATAAATCTTCATCAATTGGTCCTGTGAACAGTGGGGTCCCACAAGGAAGCGTGCTAGCTCCATACCTCTTTAATCTGTTTCTCAACGATTTTCCCCATGTCGTACAAAATTCACAGGCTATATTATATGCAGATGATTGTTTAATATATGCCCATGATAGCAACCCCGCAGAAGCACTAAATAAAGCTGCTTACCACCTAGGAGTAATTAAAGAGTATTATCAGTCCTGGAACATTAAAATAAACGCCTCAAAGTCGGAAGCCATTTGTATACGGAATGCTTCTGGGAAATGTCCTCAAAAAGTAGTTCCTGAAAGCAAAAGACTGCAACTGATTCTGGACGAAATTGAAATCCCATTCCACAGCAATATAAAATATTTGGGTATCCAGTTTAACAAACTTTTAAAATTCAATACACATGGACGTTCTGCGATACAGAAGGCGAAGCGTATATCTGGAGCCTTTTCTTACCTGTTTAATAACCAATATTTGCCGCAGAAAACAAAACTTCTTATGTATAAAGTTGCCATTAGACCTATTTTGCTATACGGATTCCCAATCTGGTTCACTATTTCTCCTATAGTGGCCAAAGAATTGGAAGTCTTTGAAAGAAAAATCCTCCGAAAGTGCATTAACAAACATTACTTGTGTCATGACAAAAAGTACTCCAATAGTTTTGTATATGAAACGTCTGGAGTTCAGCCGCTCTGTAACTATGCATTTAATTATCAAAAGCTATTTATCGAAAGATTGGCCACACATGAGAATGATTTGTTAAAAGAAATCTTTGAATATGAAAAGTTACTGCGCTGGTCTGGATCGGCATACATATCACCTGTTGGAATCATAAACGAAAATCTGGACATCGGTCCAGAAACATACACACTTCCAGATTTTTATAAAAAAACAATACCTGGCTCGAACCGGGGCTAATCTAAACTACCTAAAAAAAACCTAAATTAATATTTATAATAATATTTTAACATGTTGCTTATAAGCTTAATATTATGAGCGCTCGATTTACATATACATGCACATATATTTGATTTAAACAAACTGTGATATTTTTTATGTACGAAACACACACTTTTTAACTTTACTGTTAAATCATATCTCTGTTGTACATTGCTTTAACAGATCGTTGTTATCTATTTATTAAGTATTGATTAGTATTTTAAGTTATTTATTTTGTAACAGACTATAAAGCGCTGTTTGTCATTCCAAGGCCGTGAGCAAGCCTTTCAAGAATTTATCATTTAATCGAAACGTTCATGTTTTATATAAATTGTCAAAAGTGCACAGTAGCATACCTCGTCGACATAGTGTATTAGAACAAGACGATAATAATTCTAAGGTTATATGTTATCATTCGAACTGCATAACACTATCACATAGAAAAAGAAGAAGACTCAATAAAAAATTTACTTACTTACTTACTTACTTTCCAAAGAAGCCAGCCGATGACTTAAGCCAGCCAAATAAAGCTGGGAATACATAAAGCGCTTAGGCTGGAAACACATAAAAAGCATATTTCGTTGGCTTAAGTCACCGGCTGGCTTCTTCGTAGATGAACAAAGGAGTTTTAGGTTGATTCAGTTCGATTTTGGGCATAGGCTCCTTTGTTAATTTCCGAAGAAGCCAACCGATGACTTAAGCCAGCCAAATATGCTCCAGCCTTATTTGGCTGGCTTAAGTCATCGGCTGGCTTCTTCGGAAATGAACGAAGGAGACTAGGGCCAAAATCGAACTAGGTCAACCTAAAACTCCTTTGTTCATCTACGAAGAAGCCAGCCAAATATGCGCTTTATTTATGTCCAGCCTAAGCGCTTTATATATTCCCACCTTAATATAAATATGAATTTGGAAACTTTACGTAGTTCAATTGGTGGCATGTCGTCGATAATATCGATAGCACAATTATCAATCGATAATCCCTTTTAAAGAAAATATCGATATTGTCAATGGAAATGCATCGATTGTTTGCCAGCTCAATCTCTTTCAATCTTCATCTTTGTTTTTTATTTGAAGCTTGTGTATTTTCGTGAAAGATATTTTTTTTTTATAAATTTTATAAAAAATATATTAGACTACTATAAGAATTGTAAAACGGTAATATGTTCAATAAGTAATTTACAACATTGAAAACTATATAGACCAATAAATAATATACCAGAATATACAGTGCTGCGAGTTAATTAAGAATTAAGGTGTGGTTTGGGTGTAAGTCAGGCTTACAAATGTATTCAATATATTTTTGTTCATCAAGTGTATCAAGTGTAAAGAGCTTTAAATAACAAAAAGAGGCCTGTCCTGATTACATTTTATAGTTTTAGTGTAGGGTTTATGAAATTATTTAATTAAATTTTTGAAGTCAAGTTTAGATTGAACCACACCTATGAGTCAGTTGTTGTTGTTGTCATTCTTGAGTAGCTTCATATTTACAATATATATGATGTATATGTAGATGTTTGTTCAGCTAACAATTTTAATATATACAATAGGTCTAATTTCATAATTTAACATTCATTTATAAGTGAAATTTCAATGTTTTGACATTTTTTTTCATTTTCAGGTGCAAAGGAAAACAACGAATTTTGTAAAAACATGTATTTTAAATAAAGAGAAATACAGAAAAGATTTCCCGTAGAATCTATATTAAAATCACAAGCAAATATGTTGCATTTAAATACATTGTTTACAACCAATTACTGTTATAGTGCAGTGGCATTTATTTTTGTATTCTGCATTGCATCCTCAAATGGGCAATTAGCTTCCGATCCACAATCATATCAACCTAGATATAATCCACAATATACTAACGCCCAACAGAACACACTCCCCGGTACGACACAGTATGACAACCCACTGCTAACATCATTGCAAGACCAAAATCAATTAGGAGGGAGCACCAACCCAAATAATTACTACGAATCGAATTTGAACCGTCAATTAAACTCTAATAATTTGGGTGGGACAACAAATTACGATCCATTCAGTCGTAATTCTGGATCAAGCGGTGGATACACTTCGACAGGTATAGGCTTTGTTGATTCATACAATGATGAAGATAACTTTTGTCCCGAACACTGGATATCATACCGTCAAACTTGCTACCGCTTTATACGCTCACCAAAACGAAATTGGATGGAGGCAAAGAAAATTTGTAAAGCGTACAATGCCGAGTTAATAAATGTTGACAATGTTGATAAGCACGCTTTCGTTTTGAAGCAACTAATATTACAGAATCAGCGCCAAAATCGGTTTTGGACGTCGGCTCGGCAGACCGGTCCCAATAGCTGGGTTAACGATGATAATTCACCATTCCTAATGGTGGAAGATTCTTTCTCATTCGACGAAGACCAAGCCATTGAAAATGAAGACTTGCACGATAATCGCTTCCTTGTACAACGCAATTACAACAGCGATTTTAATCGGAATCCTAGCCAGTATTTCAATACAATCGGTGGGTCTGCCAATAGGAATCAAAACAGAGGATTTTCTGGTAAGGAAAATAGATCCGTATTTTAAATTACTTCTGAACTTTATGTTATTATGGTATACATTTTACTTGAACAGGTCAATATGGAGACAATGGATTTATACGAGACCGCCTGGTTTATGGCTTTTCAAAACTTAAAGATAGGTGGATGTTTATGCCTGCTTACGATTTTGAATTAAATTTGTTCATTTGTGAATCAAAATTATTGCACAATCCGGAGAATATTAACCTAAAATCTGATGAAAAACGCCCCTTTCATTATGGAATGGATATACGAGATGCTGAGAAAATTCCACGCGGTCCCTACTTTGTAAAGCAGCCAAATGACACAACTTTTGATACAAGCAAAAATCGTTTAATTAATGACGTCACCTTAAGCTGTCTAGCTGGAGGATACCCAACTCCAACATACAGTTGGTACCGTGAAGTTTACGTGAATGATACCCTGGAGTATAAGAGAATAGATCCCATTAAAGATGATCGTTATACTGTTTCCGGTGGAAATTTGATTATATACGACCCTAAGCAAGCTCTAGACCAAGGTGCATATCACTGTGTGGCAGAGAATAAATTTGGTCGTGTTCGATCTGAAAGTGCACATCTCAATTTTGGTTTCATAATGGAATTTAACTTAAAACGTTCCGCTGAAACGGGAGACATGAACTGGGGCAAATCTATTTTCTGCGATCCTCCTCAGCATTATCCGGAAGTTAAATACTATTGGTCTCGCGACAAATTTCCGAATTTCGTGGATGAAGATCATCGTGTTTTTGTTTCTAATGATGGCGCCTTATATTTCTCATATATAGAGATTGTAGATAGGGCCAATTATTCATGTACAGTTCAAACCGTTGTTTCAGATACTGGAAGAAATGGACCTTTCTTCCCACTACGTGTTAAACCGAATAGTAATTATCAGGAATTGATCTTTGCTAATTCGTTTCCAAAGGTGAGTATTATATAGCTTACGCATGTAGTGTTTATAATTATATCTTAGTAATAAAATATTTGTAAGATGTTAGATATGAAGCTTTGTGCTAAATTCTAAGAGCTGTATGTGTTTTCTGGTAGCTCTATTAGAGATTTCAAAACCACCAAATATGCTTTAAACTACCGCGAAACGCATCATAAAAGATTTGTTAAAAACGATGTTTTCAGATAGAAGGAAAAATTTTTAGACGTGCTTGCTTGTATATTTGATACGATATATTTTTTCTTTTTAGGTATTTCCAGAAGCCCCAATTGCTGGCGATGAAATTCGTTTGGAATGTATGGCATTCGGTTATCCAATACCATCCTATAATTGGACAAGGCGGGGCCAACCTTTGCAGCGAAATGCCTATGCAACGAACTATAACCGAGTACTAGTTATCCAAAACGCTACGACAAATGACAATGGTGAATACACTTGTACCATTGCAAATCCACGCAAATCATTGGAGAAATCCGTGTTCATTAATATTCAGATGAAGCCGCAATTTTCGATACCCTTAAAAGACAAAGTGAAAGACTATAATAGTGATGTCACCTTTATCTGTGAGGCATTTGCTATACCTGATGTGAATTACACTTGGTATAAGAATGCAGAGTACTTGGATCCCGAAAAGATTGATAAAGATCGATATGTCATACAAGATAATCTGTTAACCATAAAATACCTTGAGCCAGATCGTGATGATGGCATGTACCAATGCGGCGCTGCTAATCAGCTTAAAACCGCATATTCTTCTGCACAGTTGCGAGTTCTTACAATGAAGCCGTCATTCAAGAAAAGGCCTTTGGAGTCAGAAATTTACGCTGTTTATAACGGTAACACGACGATTGAATGTGATCCAGAGGCAGCACCACGTCCTAAAATACAATGGAAAAAAGACGAACAGCTTATTGGGGCAGGAGGACACCGTCGAATTCTTCCCAGCGGAACGTTAATAATCTCGCCAACATCAAGAGACGACGAAGGTGTTTATAGCTGTGTAGCCTCAAATCTAGCAGGATCTGATGAGTCGCGTGCGCGACTTATTGTTTTGCGTAAGTTGAATTATTTTGAATACTAAAGTCTATAATGCCGATTTTATTTCCCTTCGATATATAGAAGAGCTGCGTTTCATCCAAACTCCGCCACCAAGGATTACCACACAAGTGCAGGATTTGATTTATATACAATGTGAGGCTAGCTACGATGAGCTTTTGGACGTGGCTTACGTTTGGAAACACAATGGAGAAATTCTTCGCAACAACCACGATGGCACAGAACGAATTGTGAGTATTAGTTCAGCGTGTCTTAGATTCGACATGTTCAATTAACATTTTACTTGTTCTTTTTTGAAGATAATCGACTACAATCGTTTGACTGTGCACAATGTTACTATGTTGGATGGTGGCGATTATGAATGCGTAGTGAAATCGTCCGTAAATGAAATTAGTGCCAAGACACATGTTGTTATCGAAGGCGCACCCAGTGCTCCGGGCGGAGTACAAGTTATTGATATTGCAAAGACAAAAGCACTCATAGAATGGGTGGATGGTGGTAACAATGGACGTCCAATCCGCTATTATAATATTTTGGGACGTACGAATTGGAATCGGACGTGGGTAAATGTATCAACACATGTGCAGGCGCGTGAAGTTGATCGCTATACTAACAGACAACAAGCTGAAGTTACAAATTTGACTCCTTGGTCATCGTATGAATTTAGTGTAGCAGCGGTAAATGATCTAGGTATCGGCATACCTTCAGCACCATCTCCTATATACAGTACCCATGAGGATAAGCCTTACATAGCTCCACGCAATGTTGGTGGTGGTGGCGGAAAAATTGGCGACCTCACAATAACCTGGGACCCTCTGCTTCCCGAAGAACAGCATAGTCGTGGTATACATTACAAAGTATTTTGGCGCCTAAAAGGAAAATATGAATGGGCTTCTGAGATTATTGACCGTCACGATCACATAGGCATGGCAGTTGTTAACATTCCTCTGAATAATTATTATACAGAGTATGAGGTAAAAGTTCAAGCTATTAACGACGTTGGCAAAGGCCCAGAAAGCGAACCGGTTACAATATACTCTGCTGAAGATATGCCACAAGTTGCACCACAAAAGCCGATAGCAATAGCATTCAATTCGACGGCATTCAATGTAACATGGCAACCAATTGACATGACTCGTGAAAATATTAGAGGAAAACTTATAGGACACAGGGTATTTTACAAAAGTAACTTAATTATTCTTTGCATACAATAATGTATATAATTTTTAGATCAAATATTGGAAAACCACTCATCAAGAAGAGGATGCCGTTTACTATCTATCACGCACAATAAGAAATTGGGCGTTAATAGTTGGTTTACAGCCCGATACGTACTACTTTGTGAAAGTAATGGCTTATAATGCTGCTGGTGAGGGTCCCGAGAGCGAGAGATTCGAAGGTATTATATTTGTTGGTCATTATCAAAGAGAGTTAAAACTTTATATAAATTTTATATTTTCTTCTTGAAAGAGCGTACATACAGAAAAGCACCACAGAAACCACCATCATCGGTTCACGTATACGGCATCAATCCGTCCACGGTACGAGTGGTATGGCGTTACGTGTCGCCTGCGCAAGATGAAGAACCTATTGAAGGCTTCAAGGTCCGTGTATGGGAAAGCGATCAAAATATGATAACAGCAAACGATACGATTATACCAGTTGGTCAAAAACTTGAGGCATATATTAACAATTTGACGCCAGGAAAAAGTTATAACATGCGTGTTTTAGCATACAGCAATGGCGGTGACGGCCGCATGTCTAGTCCAACATTGCGTTTCCAAATGGGTATGTCTAAATATACTTATAAAAAACATTAAATACATAATGTGTTCTTTTTCATATTTTAGGAAAAACGACGCGAAATCATGCCAACCGGCGCTACAATTTCAATTTGAATACTTTATTGATTGTAACATTTTTAACATTTATATCCACATCTATTTTTAACAATTGATTCTAAATTTTAACATATTTCCGTCCAAGATTTTAACGCACATTCCATTTAGTATTAACTATTGTTAATCGAATATTATGCGAAAATTCCGTCCAAATGTTATGTAACAAATTTGTAGTATAAGTATATCTATATCAGTCTCGAATGCAATTTAATTATTTTATTGCAGAAAATTAGTTATATTTCCCATATATACAAATTTCTATTACACTTCACTCTTAAAGTGCCCTTACTAAGTTATTAAGAAACTTAGCATACTAGTACATACATATGTCCACAAACTTATACATACACTTTTACATACACCTACTAACAAATATGTATTTTTATAGTGTAGTTAGTAGGAGTATGGTTTTGTTTTACATTAAATGTTTTCATTTAAATTAAATGACCTTGTTTTATTTGGTTTATATATATATATATATATATATATATATATATATATATATATATATATATATATATATATATATATATATATATATATATATATATATATATATATATATATATATATATATATATATATATATGTATATATATATCCGAAATTATGTTGTTTTTCAAATGAAGTGGTTTATACGAAGGCTGAGCTTTAACTTGAGCTCATAAAATTTGAACAAATAAATATCTGACGCACGGAAGATCCTAAAATTTAGAAAAAAAATTTAGTGCAGCTATACGAATTTCCGTATATTTAAATGATGTGCCCACTAACGTTTTAGGCGTTCTCTATATGTTGGCCTTTATTTTCAATATACTATTTCTACGATACTTGATTTGGTCTCTATTCGTTGTTTGACCCCTATATACCCTGAACCTATGTGATCCGCATTCTTATCTTCCTCGGCAAGGTCCATATTTTCAAGCTAATCAAATGAAATCATGTCGCATACTGCACTATATCTTTTCAATTGCCGGCCAAACTTACTGCTGAAGATTTATGACTGCAGTTTAATTTTTTTGGTTTCTTTGAAGTTGATCAACTTTTCTTATTGAACCCTGGAAGCAAGGTAGATTTACCCATGGTACAAGAAAAAGGTAAGGTAGAGCTCCCAGCTGATTACAATTTTTTTCTAAGTGTGCCCGACTTCTGCCATTTTTGTGTATGTATTTGTTGTTTTAAAAAATAAAAACATAATATTTTCAAAATCAATGATTGGAAGAAACTTAAATTGCGGGCGCACATTAATGATTCATTCATCTTTCGCGCTAATTGACTCATTTTAGAAATAAACACAAATATCAAATAAATAAAAACAACTTAAATTTTGATTAATACTGCCAGGAAGCGGGCATAGCCTCAGGGCTGTATTTCTATAGTTCTACGAAGCTGTTCTACCTCCTTATTGTACCATGGATTTACCTTGAATGGAATGCTTTTTTCGACGCACCTTATTTCGTGGCAACACCATTTGTTAAAATGAGTACTGCAATGGCGATTGTAGTAATAGTAAATAATTGATCCATTTTGGGAAATAATTTAACTAAATATTTCGATTTATTTATCTAGTGACCCACAAAATAGATTTTCTCAACATTAAGTGTTGAATTGTTGATATAAAAAATAAGCAAAAATATATCATATTTGTATCAATTTAAATATAGCAACAAATTATTTCCAAATATTTTGCCCTTTTATTGATTGCTCCTTAAATCCCCGTACGATTACTTCAGACTCCCACCATCCGACATCTTGATTGAAAAAATTGGATTTTTTGCCCCCATAAAAGCCAGACGGAGATGTACTATTTTTTAAGTAAGGACTTATGTTATCTTCAAATATGTGCAGATCCTTACAACATTTAAATATCATATTTTCCGATTCTGGTTTACGTTTATGAATTAAATTTATTTGAATGTCCTTGCAACTTGATGGTATTGCAGAAAACTCCTTGGGGTACATATTCGACTTCGAATCTTGCGATGATCGAGTTGAAGTCATTGGGTTGTCAAATAATTGAAATTCCAAGTAGACGTTTGTTGGACTTAGATTTTGAGAGAATATGGAATAAAGTGATTCATTCGTTAACAAAGATCTGTAACAAAATTTTTCGTCAATGTAATAAAAAAATAATAATAATGAAATAAAAGCACTTACATTAACGTTTCGTTCAGTTTTTGGGCTTCTATTCGATGCTGCTCCCAATCGTGATTTGTTAGCACATTTTCTATGGGTATATGAATCGTGTAAGATTCTTTCGGTGTAAATGGTGTACCGCCAAACAAAAACCTTAAAGACTTTACCGCTGTCCGTCTAAACGTATCATTTATTGCCTATGAGAGAGGAGTACTTGTGAGTAAAACAATCTTCCTTTTGTTATTTAATACAATACCTCACGCATTGCACTTATAGAGTCTTTTGTAGATTTAGCTAGATTTCGTTGTCTTTGGACTTGAAAATTCTTCACATTATCCAATTGCTCCATATCCTCTTGTTGTTCGTCGTCATCATTCCATTTGTTCACATAATATCTGTACGTTTTGTACACGAATGGTATTTGATTCCGTTGGTACAGCAGCGACTCTAAAACCGAGTTTATAACTTCAGCAATCGTTCCGGCCGTAAGAATATCAACTTCCAAAAACAAATTTAGTTCGACGCGGGAAGACATTTTCGAGGGATTTAAACATTAAATATCGTTTGTATGTATGTGATTACTCCGACATGGCGCGTGGGAAACCAAAATGAAAGACGTACCCTCTGTTATTTACGAATGAGTGTAATGCAAAACCCGAGCGACCTCTGTTGTTTACGAATGAGACATGAGGAAAACGCAATCAGCTGAAGAATTCATTAAATGAGCCGCGAAAGTAGTTGCTTGGATGGCGGCGGTATATCATGTGTATGCGGCGGCGTGCTATGCATGGTTGCTGCAGCCATGGTACAATGAATTCAAGGTAGGGCAGAACTACCATATGATTTAAATTTTTCTTATTTTTCTGGCTTAATATGTCAACTTTATTTGCTTATGTGTGTGTCTTCTTTTCAATAATAAAAAATTGTTCAGAAAATATTCAAATTAAACCATAAGAGATATATAGAACATGATATTGAAAAGAAATTTTGACCATTCATTCAGTTTTCGCGGTTTTAAATTATTTATTCAAAATCAATTCAGAAAGATGTTTGCTTTTTTATTGTTTTGATAGTAATTCTGACATTACAAGCCAAACAGGTAGACCTCTATACTTGCAATTTTTTCAAAGTCGACCTACCTTCTCTTCATTGTACCATATTTTTTTGAACTTCTTACATTGTCAAGTATGTTGGTGGAACACGATGTGTTCATTCATTCAAAGCATGGCAGAATAATACAGGTAGATGCATCAACGCGTGACATATCAATGTCAAAAAAATTGAAATGTTTTTTAAAATATAAGTAGATTTTTATATGTTTTCTTATTCTAAGTTAGAAGGAGGCTATTATAATTCGCGTTTTTCAAAAATTTCAAAATTGGTTTGGCAGTTCATTGTCCCAGCAGCTGTGTCGACGCGACTACCTATATTCTTCTACCATGATTCAAACAAACGAGTACCCATGGTAGAAGAATAAAGGTAGCATGGTACCATGGTACAATGATATCAAGGTAGGGCTATGATACCATATGATTTCAATTTTTTTATTTTCTTGGCTTAATATGTCATCTTTATTTGTTTATGTATGAGTTTTCTTTTCAATAACAAAAAAAAATGTTCAGAAAACATTCAAATTCGGATGTTTTCAAAATGTTTATTTCATAGTATGCATCGACAAAATCTAGAGTTTTTGTAGCGAAATAATCCTTTAGAGATATATAGAACCTGGTTTTGAAAAGGTGTGTTGACCTTTCATTCAATTTTCGCGGTTTTCAATTATTAACTCAAATTAAATGCAACAAGTTGTTTGATTTTGTTATTGTTTTGATGCTAATTCTGACATTACAAGCCAAACAGGTAGACCTCTATACTTGCAATTTTTTCAAAGTTGCCCTACCTTCTCTTCATTGTACCATGCATGGTACTATGAATTCAAGGTAGGGCAGAACTACCATATGATTTAAATTTTTTTATTTTTCTGGATTAATATGTCAACTTCATTTGCTTATGTGTGTGTCTTCTTTTCAAAAATAAAAAATTGTTCAGATAATCTTCAAATTCGGGTGTTTTCAAAATGCTTATGCATCGACAAAATCTACAGTTTTTGTCGCGAAATAAACCATAAGAGATATATAGAACATGATATTGAAAAGAAATTTTGACCATTCATTCAGTTTTCGCGCTTTTAAATTATTTATTCAAAATCAATGCAACAAGTTGTTTGCTTTTTTATTGTTTTGATAGTAATTCTGACATTACAAGCCAAACAGATAGACCTTTAAGGGCTAAGTACATAAGAAGCTTGAAGTCATGGCTAGGCATATTAATGTCATATTATAATGGAAAACGACGGCTGGATTTTAGTGCGGCTCTGTAATCCCCTTGTGAAATGTCACAAAAAATGCCTAGCCATGACTTCAAGCTTCTTATGTACTTAGCCCTTTATACTTGCAATTTTTTCAAAGTTGGCTTACCTTCTCTTCATTGTACCATGGGTAGATTTTGTAAAATGTTTTATGAAAAATAGGTGGATTTTTAAATGTTTTTTATACGACGCAAATCAGAGGTTATTATAAAATGCATTTTCAACAATTTTTACAAATTTTAATAATTTTTCATTTAACATTTTCAATTCCAAAATCGGTTTGACAGTTCAATGTCCCAGCAGCTGTGTCGAAGCGACTACCTGTAACGGAACGGAACGATTTCCAGCACAGAGTTGCATTTTTCTTGCTTCTTTGAAGCTGAGTAACCTTTCTTATTGAGCCATGTTTACTACTAACAAATGCAATTAGTAGTTATCATGGCAGAAGAATACAGGTAGATGCATCAACGCTTGGGAGCATTGATATGTCAAAAAAAATTAAATGTTTTTTTCAAATATAAGTAGATTTTTATATGTTTTCTTATAATACGTCATTCGGAGGCTATTATAATTCGCGTTTTTCAACAATTTTTACAAATTTAAATAATTTTTCATTCAACATTTTCAATTCCAAAATTGTTCATTGTCCCAGCAGCTGTGTTGACGCGTCCACCTATATTATTCTACCATGGTAGTTATGTTATATTTTATTCAAAACAATGCGTACATATATGAATTATATTTATATTTTTGGCTTAACTCTAGTTTAGTAAAACTATTAAATTTTTTCGAAATTTTTTTCCAGTGGTAGGTATTTTTACCCTGATCCCGGGAAACTATTTTTTTCTTGGGGGACGGACCCGGGACCACAGATTTTTGACCCCAAAGTGTTCAGGACCCCGACTAGACCCGTATACAATTACCCGATATATACAATATAGGTATCGTTAGTTTATGAAAATACCTATCCAACAAGTGGTCACATGATGGTTATGGTAAGTGGTCAAGATCCGGAAGTTATAGTCAAATTATAGATTTTTTGGACCCATATTTTTTATAAAACCCCCAAAAAGTCCAAAAAGGGCCCATTATGGGGGTCAACAAAATTGATGCCAAATTATATCTGACACTCTTACCTTTCCAAAATGCTACAATTTGTGCTAATACCTTTACTGAGTCCAGAGATATGGGTCTTTCCATCCGCATAAACCGATTCTAACCCCATCCAATGTAAAAAGGTAAAAAAATTACATTAAAAAGTAAAAAAACAGCTAAGTTCGGCCGTGTCGAACTTTTTATACCCTCCACCATTCGGAAGGAATTTGAAATATTAAAAAAAAAAAACTCAGTCGAAAAATACCGCTTAAATAAAACCTTTTTATGGGGGCCATACGAAGACGTGGTGCTGGATAATTAGTTTCCTGTCATAGGCTGTAGTACCGATTCCGAACTTCGAATACTAAATTTTAAACAATTCCGGTGAATAATGTCTTTAACATCAATAAAATACCGAATAAATTGGGGCTATACTATGACGTGGACCTACATATACAATTTTCCGTCATAGGTTGTAGTACCCATTACGAGCTTCAAATACGAAATTTGTCGCAATTCCGGTGTTGTTGCGAAAATCCTAGAAATATACTAAAACGTTGACCTATATAGACAATTCCATGGTAGAAATACCAGGTAACAACGTAGGCGAAAATTACAACAAAGCAACTTTTGTCGGAACTTGATATGTCGAAATTGCAAGCAAGGCGAATTTACTTGACATATAAAATTTGAGGCAAATTGTTTTGCAGCAATCAGAACATTTCATTTTGAAGCATTGAATTATTTTGTTGTGTTTTTATTTATATTTAAAAAATATATATTTTGCAAGAAAATTTTGTGAAAAGCTAACAAAAGTCAAAGACTCGAAATAAGACAAAAAACCAAGAAACAACCACCAATATGAGGATAACTTACAAAGGCTGCTGCTCCAAACAATGAATTTTGCCGTGAATTTCTAAAAATGTAGATTCCTTCAACACATCAAATCCTCAAATTTTAAAGAAAATTACCGGCTCTTAAATCGTGGATATTTAAAGAAAATTCCGGGTCTCAGTCGTGGCTATATCTCGAAAGCATATTTGCGGATCTCAAATAGTGGATTTTATTGATTTATTTCAGACCTAAAAATTATTATTTTTGAAATGAGACCAATTTTTTATCTTGAAGTCCTAAAGGAATCGTCCATCAATAAAAGTCCAAGTTTTAAGTAAAAAAGTTCAGTCGAAGCTTCGACAGAAATATATCGTCAGAATTTGACCACTTATTTAATTTACTTTATTTGAAGGACGTGTCATAATTGTTTATTTCGAAGTCCTAAAGGAATCGTCCATCAATAAAAGTCCAAGTTTTGAAGAAAAAAAGTTCAGTCGGAGCTTCAACAGAAATATATCCTCAGAATTTGGCCACTTATTTATCTTTACTTCATTTCAAGGACGTATCATAAAGATTAAATAATTTCAACTTTTCACTAAATCTAGTATTAATACTTTAAGAAGAGAACTGGGAATAATATCACATTTTATGAGAATAGTGATTATTAAATATTTTGTAGGATAGGTACCAGATCTATTGTTCAAATATGATCTGATGAAGATATGATGAAAAATCATAGACTATTGCCTGGGTGATTCATTTACCCTTTGAGGAATAGAGAAGAAATCTAAGATTTGGTGAATAGTAGCAAATAGAAATATGTATGAACTAGATGTGTAAGTGAGAAAGGTATTGATCTTTGATTTTTCTACAAAGGTATTGGCCTTTGCTTGTACTCGCTTACAAACCATACAATAGCTCATATTTGTTTTTTTTTTAACTTTTTCCAACATTTTCAATTTTTATAATTGTTTAGGTTTCTTTCTCATTTTATGTATCTGTAGGCCGAATTCATATTACAACAATTTGTTTAACATATCAAGTTGCCTATAGCTGGCCTGATAGGGTTCCTTGTAATTCTACCATGGACAATTCTCTTCCAGGTGGTAAAGTACTTAGAGGGAAATCCTTTGTGGATTTTCAAACTATTACTATGCAAACGGAATGACGAACTTTATATACCCTCCATACTTTGTTTGGTGGAGGGTATACAAATAACAACTCTCAACGTACCAGCCATCACTTTGCACAGCAAACGTTTGGAAGCGTTTTGTTCCTAAACGATAAAGTTCGCCAACCCACAGCCGAAGTGCATTAAGGTAATCGCATTGTTTGTGTATTTCTGATATTGAAATGTTAGTGGTTTTGTTTTGCTTGAAGTACAAAACTATTGAAAATTTTATAAAAGTTTGTTTCTCGCGAGAGCTGTACGTTAATTGTTTCGTTTGTTTTTGTTCGCTGTATACGATATCGTGGACCTGTATAGCCTATCTTCAAACTTGACCTGCATGCAGACAAAAGACTGATCTGCGCAAAATTTAAGCTTCCTATCTTTATTCGTTTTGACTCAAGCGTGATTACAACAGACGGGCAGATAGGGCTAAATCGTCTTCCTCCATACTATGTATGGTGGAGGGTATAAAAATGATAAATAGGTTGTAATAATGACTCCAAAAAGTTGTGCAGTAAATCACAATATTACATATTGACATTTTATTACTGTTTATGTATGTACATTTCATATGTGGACGCTCTGTTGCATTATCACAATATTTCCGATACAATTTGCAAAAGTGATTTGGGACATTCCTTAAATACTTCATCACATTTGTGTGTTAGACCAATTTTTGCAGCAGTAATATAATCCTTGCTCAAGTGATCAACTAAATCATCTTTGCTAGAAAAAGGTCTAGGGAGAAAAAAAGAAAGAAAAAAAAAACAAATTCTTTAAAAATTGAACATATGTAATACGCATAGAATACTTACGAAAATATTATGTGAGCAATCTCATGCCAGAGATCACCACTATCATTATTAAAAGGTACCTGATTTGCTTCACATAGCGATTTCAAAACGCAGGTATGTCCATTGAGCCCAATACTAGAATGTATAACTGTTTCACTATACACTAATTAATTCGTATAGAAGTAGGAGTGTTACCTAGATGCCCATAATCCCATTGCATTATATAAATGCCATCGCATTTGTTTCAATAACGGAAGATCATTTAAATTATCTATTAGTCTGCCGTTTATATTGTGACTTGTATGATTTCTTAAGTCTTTTGGCTTAGTAGGCAACGGAAATTGTGATTTGAATACCATTCCGGATATAACTGAATCCGTGTCCGACTCGATGGGGATCCCAAAACCACATACAAACTGTGAAACCCCGAAATCTATTACAAATTACATATTAACATGGGACTTTTGTTGAAAATATAGAAAACTATATTAAATCACCTTCAAACATCAATGGTAAGTGACGTTTCTTACGTCCGGGTGTAGATGTGTCGGTCTCACTTGCAAAACTTGAAAAAACCGCGGCAACGAAAGCAGTCATTGATATCGCAATCACCATTACCGTTCTCATTGTCTGCTTGTCTTGTGGGAGGAAGAACCTTTTCACTACTGCTTGCAAAAATTTTATTATTCATATTGGCAATAGGTATCGGACCAATAAATTAGCACCTATTTTGCAAAAAGTTTATTTAATATTTAATTGACACAATATGTAGCAACATACATACGCGTGTATGCTATAGTGACATGTATTAAATTAGGCATATCTGAGTACACATGCATACAAGTAAATATTGCGTTTGCAGTGAAAGATCCTAGGTAAAATGTATGTCATTGCCTTAGCGGTTTAAATCAGTTAACATTGGTAACTATGCCGTTATCATATCATTACAACATAGTTACCAATGTTAACTGATTTTAACCGCTAAGGTTAAATATACACATTTTTACAGAGGTCTGTGGAATAGAATTTTTGGATTTTCAAACATTTATTAGTCATTCGTTTCTGTAATTGTGGTTTTTATGTTAACATGCCTCTGTCATGAGCTGTTACTCTATGTATTGTAGACATAAAACATTTGCTCAAAATGCATTTTGTCTAGTTTTTACCATTTTAGGTCCTCGCTTCAAATACGATGTTTGAAACAATTCCTGTCTATAATGTCTCTAAAATCATACAAATACTTTACGTTGATTCAGGATATACATACTTATACTCTACAAAGTTAAGTTAATATACCTTCCATAGAATGATGGAGTGTATATACAATTCTCGTTATCTTAATCTCGGTTTTATTTTGTCTCGTACTATGAGAAAATAACGATTTCAAATGTTTCTTATAAGAGTTTCATGGTTATACAAAACTGACTCCTTTTGGTGTGGTATAAGGAGAGGTGATCAATACTTCAAGTTTTGCAGCAGCTCAATATTTGGTAAAATATTAGAAAAGGCTAGATTTTGTAATAACCACAAGAATACTGGCTGAAACTGCTTTAGGGATATTGCAGCAATTTGCATTACTAAATTCAGCCCTGAAAATTTTTGGCAAAATCTTAACATGAAACGTGAAATTTCCTCTTTTAAAATAAATGTGCCTCACAAAATAGTAAATACTATTGTCTGTAACTCGTTTTGGCCTGATGGTGCCTTAGTAAAGGAATTTGTTTTTAGAGAACGTACAAAAACTCCTAGATCTGTGAATATTCCAACAGTATCAAAAAACTAAATGATGTCATATCTATACTATATCAGAATGTAAGAGGTCTTAACACTAAATTGAGTAATGTTTTTCTTAAAAGTGTATACTGTGAACATAAAATAATTGTTTTTACTGAAACTTGGCTTAAACCTGATATTCTTGATACAGAAATATTTCCTGATAATTATCTAATTTTCAGAAAGGACAGGTTGAATAAAAAAGGTGGTGGGGTTCTGATTGCAGTCCACCACTCGATTCCTTCGGAAGCTGTCGATATTTTTGTCGACCCAAATAATGAATTTGTTTGTGCAAAGCTAATAGTCTTTGGTAATACAATATATATAACCTGCTCTTATATTACACCCAATTCAGGGGTTGAAACTTACTTAAATCACGCTGATCTTATTGGAAAAGTTTCCTCTTTGCTAACAGATAACTCTACTTTGATTTGCATGGGTGATTTTAATCTTCCTAATGTTTCTTGGGTTTCGGGTGATAATAAATTAGATTATGTACCCTCTACTTACCCAGTTGTACTCGACGCTTTTTGGGATAAGATTTATGAACTTTGTTTATACCAAGTAAATTTTATACTCAATGGTAAGGAACGACTCCTAGATTTAATTTTCTCATCTTCCCTAAATATTTCGCTTTGTAGAAGTCCTCCATTTGTAATTCCTGAGGATACATATCATCCAACGCTCCTTTTAAACCTTGAATTAAGGAACACTCTGTCCAATATTACTGTTATTAAAACTTTATCTAGTAGGCGAAATTTTGCGAAGGCCAATATACCCCTACTACGCTCTCTCTTATCAGGTTCTATGTGGTGCATCAATGGCGACATTGATTCACATGTTTCTAAATTTTATGAACAGCTCAATTTAGTTCTAGCTAGCTCCGTACCAATGGCAAAACCATTAGTTGACCAAGGCCCTGCTTGGTTTACACCTACACTAAGACGTCTACGTAATATTAAAAATAGACTTTTCAAAAATTTCAAAAAATCTAACACTGCCGTAAATTATTCAAAATATTCCATGGCAAGAAATAGATATAATTTGGAAAACTCCAAATGTTATTCTCAGCATTTAGCCCAAATGCGGCAGAATTTATTAAACAATCCAAAGAATTTCTTTAAATTTGTAAACTCCAAAAGGAGAGCTCAGAAATTTCCCTCCAGCATGAAACTTGGTAGTAAAGAGTCTTCAGACAATCTTGAAATTGCAAATTTATTTGCTGACTTTTTTCAGTCATCCTATACCCAGGGCACAGCTAGAGGCCCTTGCGAAATTCATACCACTTCATTGAATCACTTTCCCTGCATTATCTTAACCGAAGACGAAGTCTTAAATGGTTTAAAGTCATTACGCTCCTCATTTTCCCCTGGCCCTGACGGTGTTCCAACCTATATTTTAAAATCTTGTGCTAGAGAATTATACTTACCATTGACTAAGATATTTAATTACTCCTTGAAAATAGGTTATTTTCCAAGCTTCTGGAGATCGAGTTTTGTTATTCCACTCCATAAATCAGGCAATAGACGTTTCATAGATAACTATAGATGTATTGCTAAGTTAAGTGCCATTCCTAAACTTTTCGAACTCTTAGTCTCACGTCGGATGTCACATTTTATAAAAAGCATATTATCACCTTTTCAGCATGGTTTTATGAAAGGCAGATCTACTACTTCTAATCATTTAGAATTTGTGTGCCATGTTCACAACGGATTTATAAATAAACAACAAACTGACGCTATTTATACAGACTTCAGTAAAGCCTTTGATACCGTAGTGCATAAGCTTTTGCTATATAAACTCGATACTATGGGTTTTCCGACAGCTCTGTTAGGCTGGATTTCATCATACTTGGAGGGTCGTACCCAAAAAGTCATTTTCAATGATTCATTTTCAAAAAATATTGTTGTTTCTTCTGGCGTACCTCAGGGTAGTCATTTGGGCCCTTTACTTTTTGTTTTGTATCTTAATGATCTCCCGGATCACATTCGATTCTCTAAAATACTAATGTATGCTGATGATGTGAAGCTTTACATGCATATAAATTCCCTTGACGATTCGACTTTCTTACAGTACGATTTACATTCCCTTGTGAACTGGTGCAGTGCCAACGGTATGTCCCTTAATCTTAAGAAATGCAAAAAAATTTCCTTGTCACGATCTCAGCCAATACATTCTAACTACTTTATTGGTTCATACAAATTAGAAAATGTTGATTCCTTTACTGACCTCGGTGTTATACTAGATCCTAAACTACGTTTTCATTTACATATTGACTCATGTGTTAATAAAGCCAAGTCTTTACTAGGTTTCATAAAACGTTGGTCTAAAGAGTTCGATGATCCATATGTCACCAAAAGATTATTTGTAAGTTTAGTTCGCCCAATATTAGAGTACGGATGTATTCTGTGGAGTCCTTTTTATAAATGCTACTCAGATAAAATCGAATCAGTTCAAGTTCAATTCCTGATTTTTGCTCTACGGGGCCTCAACTGGAACCCGACAGAATTACTTCCACCTTATGAAAATCGTTTACTGTTAATTGATCTCCCAACACTTGAAAGGAGGCGGTTTATGCTAAGAGCGTTATTTATTATCAAATTAACACGCGGTTTGATTGATTCTCATTTTTTAACTGGGGAAGTTACTTATAATATTCCTTCTCGTAGAACTCGTCATTTCGAACCTTTAAAGTTATCTCTCGCAAGAACTAATTTCGCAATCAGTAATCCATTGAGATCCTTATGTGTAATTTACAATAGTCTATGTAATAGTATTTGTTTAAGTAATTCGTTGAACTCTATTAAAAGATCTATTCTCCACATGTGATTGTATATGTCCACTTACCTATTTTTTTTTATCTTAAAAAGCTCATTTTTGCGGCACCTGATCTACATCTCCCTTTGCGGAACCAGTAGACCCAGCCTTTGAGCACTAGTTGTCAGAATCTTTAAGTTCATTTTAACGGCACCTAGTGTACAATTCCCTCTGCGGGAACAATAGACACCAGCCTTTGAACAGTAGTCTTTGTTTAACACATTATTTTCACTGTTATTTGTTTATATTTGTTATAAATGTTATATGTTTTCTTTAATTCCTTTCTCTATAGTGTATTTTTACCTATTACTTTGCCGGCTGATGTACTAGACTGTAGCTGGCACCACTAACTCACAACTAACCCACCATTCCCGGTCTTTGGTGTGTACGCGCTCCCTACGTATGGGGAGGTCGCCCCCTCGGTCGGCAGGGGTGGGAGTGAGAGGCGTGGGAACGAACGAAAAAAAAAAAAAAAATACCTGCTATTTGCATTCTGAACAAAAATCATGCGCTGACAATTTCCTGCCACGAAATTAAGGTCTATTCGACTGAAATTTTGGGTTGACAATCTTCTACCGGTACAAAAGCAAAATAAGCCGCGATATTATCGATCTTCATACTTGTCCTAGCAGCCGCAAAATAATACTTTGAGCCAAAATTCATTTCTTATAAGGCTAACATTTTAGTTTTCTGTTTTAGATTATATTCTTCCTTGACTTTTGTACCCCTAAAAGGCTTGATAATGACAGAATATTTGGTCGAAAAAATTTAAATTTCATGCTCGTTATAGGCTCATATTTAAGGTAGAATTTCAAAAAATAAATTTGACTACTTATGTAGATCAAATAATTTTATACCCTTCAGACAAAAATGTTTTCGCATATGTAATGTTAAATTTTCTAATTTTGACATACACACGGAAATGGATAATAAAAGTGGCAGCACATATGTAAACCTCTTATCGTCTGATAGCAGCTTCTCTGTGCTGTTCTTGAGTAGTCTTCGAATGACGTTTTATTTTAAGTCAGTCTCTAAGAATCAAAACCCCAGAATAACCGACTAAAAATGTTGGCAAAATCTTTACAAAATCTCTTTTTTTAAATTTTAAATTCCGTCGTCCGGATGAGCTCCCTGGGGTTCGTTGATACGAGACCTGGATAAGTACTCGTGGACTTAGGATTGATGGGTTGGTAGTTGTTGGACTGAGGCATGGACAAATATTCTCCGGGTTTTCAAGGATTCTGGGAAGGATTAGAGCTACAGGCAAGGATGTGTTAGGACTCACACAAGGATGTGCAAAGATGTAAGGATTCGATCCCAGGATGCCCCGAATGGAATTTATGTTGGATGTTGCTGCTTCCGTGGTCTGGCACTGACTGTCCCCATTCTAAGTTAGATCGCTCTTTTATATGGGAGTCCAAACACGTGTCTTGTGGTGGATTAACGAGACCTCGTTTACTCCATTTAAATATCCCAACAACATAATCAGGGAACATTATAACAGGACGTCTCCCTCTCTCGTCCTTGCTCTCTGTAAGAAAACCCCACAGAACAAAACGCGCTCTCCTGTTTTATACTTTATTTAAAAACACATCTTTGTAATTTCAAAAGTAATTTCAGAGTGTGGGCGTAAGTGAACTCCTTGTGATTTTCGTCGTCACACTTCCTCTCTTCCTCGGGGTGGGGTTCCACGATATCCTCTACTTTCGTGGTTGAACCACCACTTGTCCTTTGCATCCTATGAGGATACGGTATTTCAAGCCTTGGACCGTCACCACCCGCTTGTACTGCTCCCCAGGACGATGGTGCGCCAGTGCGGTTTTGAGGAATGGCTGTGGTCCTCGGCTCACATCCTTGGGAACTTCCTCCTCGCACACGAAGTAGATGGCGACCTCGTTCCTCGCTGGAATTACCATCACGCTCTTTCGTGCGGTAGTTCGGTTGGCTCCACAGCGGTTGTACCAGGGTTCTCCTCCAGGATGCTGTCCAGATACGCCATATCGCTGCTTGCACTCCCGACCACCGTGCTACTAGGCAAGGTTGTCAGAAGGATTTGCCACGGAGTGATTGGTAGCCCATCCGGTTTCGTGGCGCCTGAAGTAGCATCCAACCATTCCCACTCAAAAAGTTTTAATGGGTTTATTCTTGGACCCTGGGCTTCGGTCGGTAACTCTTCGGGCGTTCGTCTAGCTGGTGTTGGCGGACCTCGGTTCATTGTTGTGGGTGGGGTATCTGACTTGTTACCCGACGACACACAAACGACGGAGATTCTAATGGCATCATTGTTCTTCTGCGGCCCGACTAATTCGGATACGCGCTTTTCTGGTGTCTTGGTGGTATTACCTGTTCCAGAGACCGTCGTATAATGCTCTCGGCAATCTGGGCTCACGACATTGGACCAAACGTGCTGGGCTATATCCTGTCGATTCCGATATGGCGGTATTGATAGCCAAGGATATCTCGGGTAGGAAGTCATCCCACCGGTTGTGTTATTGTGGCTTACCTGGACAATCATGATTTTGACAGTCCTATTGGCTCTCTCAGTAGGATTCTCTTGTGGGCAATATGGTACAGTGAATTAATGTTGCACCCCAATTTCCTGTAAATATTTCCCAAGGACCTTACCAGCGAATTGACTGCCGTTGTCCGAAATAATCATCATCGTTGTACCAAATCTGACGAGAATCCTCTCTCGACACGCTTTCCTTACTCATTCAGCGGTTGCTCTTCTCTGAGGTACCAATTCCACCCATATCGAGAACCGGCCGAAGAATACCGAGAGCATCATATTCCCATGCTTCGTTCTCGGAAGTGGGCGGAAATAATCCGTACAAACTGTTGTTGTTCTTCAGGGGCTGACACCAACATTTCCTCTGCCGGTGATACTTGGCACGACTTATATCGCTGACAGGACTCGCAGCTTCTGACAAATTTCGCTATATCTCTCGCCAGTCCCGGCCAATAGTATCTGTTACAACGGTTGTCTGGCTATGATTTTCTCGTAGAACCCTTTCTCTTTGAGAACTTGGGACACACAGCTTCCACGGGGAATAATCTTCGTCATTAGTGTTTCCAGCAATGTGACGAAATAGCTGTTCATTCAATACTGCATAGTCCAAAAATTTCGCGGGGTTCTTTTTCATGCTCTCTAGTTTCTTCCCTATCCAGGAACATTCTTGGGGTTCGATTTTCGCTCTTTGCAAATATTCCAGTGGTTGACGTGACAATACATCAGCGACGACATTGCTCCGTTCTTTACGATACTGGACAGAGAAAGTGTACTGTTTTAATTCGAGAGCCCAACGGGCTAACCTCCCAATAGAATTTAACAATTTCAGAGAGAGATGATCGGTGATTACCTTGAAGTAGTATCTCTCTAAATAGGGACGCATCTTACCCCAGATGGTGGCCAGACACTCCTTTTCCGTGGCAGAGTAGTTCCTCTCAACTCCATTTAGGACTCTGCTCACATCACACTCTCGGTTCTCTCAAGAACTTGGACGAAAACAGCGCCCAGCCCGTAGTTGCTAGCATCGGTCTGTAGTGTGAAGGGCACGTTGAAGTCCGGTCATGCCAACACCGGTGCTTCTGTCAGTCGCAACTTCAGGATTTCGAACACGGTTTGTTGGTCCTCGTCCACCGTCAGTGCTTGCCTTTCTTAAGCATGGAAGTGAGCGGATATGCTATTGTCGCAAACTTTGGGACGAAACATCGATACCAAGAGACGACTCCTAAGAATCGGCGGAGCTCTTTCAGAGTAGTCGGTGCAGATAATTCTCTTATTGCTGCCACTTTGTCAGGATCGGTATGTCTGACCAAATCTACGACACGCCGTGGCAGGATTGATCACCGCTTCGGTGATTCTCTTTGGTTCTGCATGTTCTATTTGGCGGTGGTGGTCCTTTGTCATGGTTGGCATGGAAGGTATCCCTTCAAGGTCTTCGGCCATCTGCAGGAGGCCTGCCAGATCACTGAAATCTTTACGCCTGATATACCACAAGTATTCGGGTAGGGCATTCTTGAATATTCTTTTTACCTTCTCCTCCTCCGTGTGATCGCTGTGTCTCATTAAATCTTGCATTGCGAGCATATAGTCTTTAAACAATTCTCGGGGCTTCAGTCTCCTCTGGCGTATTTCATCCTCGAGGTTTTCCTTAAATCTTGGAGGTAGGAAATCTTTCCGGAAGACCTCCCACGGCTTGCGATTATTCCTGAACCACATTAGTGCACGTCAATGACTTCTGGCATCATCATGATCAGGTCTCTATTGGGTATCTGATACATCTCCGCTCGCTCTTCTAACCGCTCTATGAACTCAAGGGGATTACTCTCGTCGGTGTAGCGTTTGAAGGCCATAATTCGTGCCAAAGGTGATCAATTCGAAAAAATTTAAACTTATTCTAAAATTTGATGTTATTTCCGAAATTTTTTACTTTCATTCAATAAAATTAAAAAAAAAATAAAAATTATGGCTTTTGACTTTGTTGCAGTTTTTTTCTCTCACCTTACCCTGTATGCTTATTTGAAAAGCAAGTATCGCATTTCGCAAAAACCAAAATTAATAATCGTGGCGGTTTAAAATTCATGTTACGATAGAAATCGACCAAAATTGATTTGGACCGTCCATATAAAAATTTTAAAAATATTTCCGATCAAATTTGGTACCAAAATGGCAACACTGCCTCACAATCAAAGGTTTATTTATTAGTAGTGGTTGGTTAGCCGCCTGCGAGGAAATGAATTGGTTTAAAGATAACTTAAAATTAGTTTAAAAATCACAACTGTTAATTTTTTATTTATTTCCTTTACTCCAACCAACTACTTTAACATGGGGATGAACTAGGCAGTGGTCAATTGTCCATTCCAGCATTAGCTTTAAATTAACTATAAACTAATTACTTTTAAACCGATTTATAGTCAGTTGAAAAAAAATGTTTTTTTTTTTTCTATGAAGAGTTCAAAAAGTTTGGCGAGTTTTTTTATTTATTTATTTTTTTTTTTTTTTTTTTTGTTATAGTGAGACCTAAATTATTATAAAATTTGTTGACTTCTAGATGATTTTCCAACCAACTTATAGTCGATTCATAAATTCTTTATTCTATAACTAACTACGAATTGGTTGTAGAATAATGCATTTATGACTAACGATTTTTTCAACCGGTTGCGAAAAATCCCAAAGGCTGCTCCACAGTCATATCAACATCCAACACATATATTGTATTCCTATTATTGAAAAGTAGTTTAGTTGCTTAATTTTTATAAAAAACGAGTCATCATATTTGGAAACATTGTTTCCCCTCATTAATTCATGATTGGAGGAATGATCTCAAGTAAAATGCTAAGCATTTTAGAGAACTAATAAGGATTGGTCCATCCATTTTTGGAAACCTCTTGGTTAACCTTGTTATTTTTTCTCCACTATTAAATAAGCTTATTTTTTATTCAAGCCACGAAATTGATTTTGTGTCTGACAAATTTGAAATAATAAAACTGTTTCATAATCATTGCTATAGAATTTCGATACAAACAGCAAATTAATAATTTTGGCACAAAAATATGACAATTTTTATTCGTATAAATAAAATCCGCAGAAATGTTTTTCTTACACATGTATGAATATCTATTTTTAAGAAATGAAATAATAATATTAGTTTTTTAAGAACCACAAGTCTTCTGTTAACACCAGAATAATATCAATTATGAAAAGTTTTCACTTCCAGTCCTAGACAAAAATACTATCAAAAATGACTACCGTAATACTATAAGTACACTTAGAGGAGAGGAAAGGGAGGACGAATAGTCATACTCGTCATACACTGTGATTTTTTTTCATGTCTTTTTTAATACATACTTAATTTTATATAATATATTGTATGATGTCGGGCAAACCGTAGGAGACCACAAACATGGTATTGATTGAAATTGGAGTCATGGCTTAAAAGTGTTTTAGATATTTAAACAAATAGGTCTAAAATATTGGTATAAAGGAATGCCAGTTATTATGTCTGTTTGAAAGGCCCAACAACAAATGCACATTTTTTATAATTCTTCTGGGTATTGCCCGATATTAAATGTGAATGGAAAACCATATAATGAGTGCAGTCTGTCTACTGATTCTAGCACAGCACATTCGATCTGAGAACATATGTTTGTAGAGAATTAAAACACCAATGACTTAGGGAATAACTTCTGCTCTACATAGTCGTCGATTATTGCCTTGACAAGTTCATTGGTAACTTTGGGATGTTTAAGTTGATAACCAAATTCTTTTAATTTAGAATTGTCCAAATTTAGATGTTTATGATAGAGTTGTTCTTCGTCCAAGTAAGGCGTCAATGGTGTATTTGACAGACCATTTTGTTGGCAAATTTCGGCCCAAGGTTCCATGTGCTTGTCGTTAATTTCGCTCACAGTATCGGAGAGGCTGAGCTGTAAGTAAAATTGTGTGTTTTCAGCAAAAATTATACTTAGAAATCGTCTTAGTTATTTACTTACCTTAGTAAGGTTTGACATCACTATGCCGAAATAGTCAATATTTATGGAAAATATATCTCCTAAAATATCACTTATGGAACCTTGGGTGGATTCCGCGTCGTCTACGATATTGTAAATCTCACGATTAGCCTTCTCACTTAAAGCCAATTGCCAAATAGCAGCACATACATCATCAACATGAACTGTAGCCAGTCGCATTGCATCATTCCACAGTAATTTCATAACTTCATTTAAATGCTTGTAAATGGCAGCAATAATAATTCGAGGCACTAAAAAAGAGATATTAATTTGATACCATCGTTCAATTTAACTTTCCAAATTTGTAATACAAGGTATGATAATTGCCACCAATACATATGCAACATGTTGTTTTGTTTATTTGATTTCTTGAGTAAATAAACAATGGGAAATACTTACTTAGGTACCGTTTATCACCGATTCCGTATACAATTGGTAGACGAACAATGGTATAACTAAAGTTTTCCATTGATTGTAGCTCTTTTTCGACCTTTAATTTTTGTTTTGCTACTGCTGTCCAGGGATCCGTTTTGCAGTCCTCTCTCAGTGGAGTCTTTTCTGAACTATTTATACAACCTGAACTTAACTCAATGTAACGCTTCGCCTGAACGTTCACAGATTCATTTATACAATTCATACTTAACTTTAGAATGCCCTCTTTATAGACGGCATCAGTTTGATTTGGTCGAGTTTCAGCAGCACAGTTTATAACTATGTCCCAGGAACGACCAGTTGTTGGATGTGGTACAAATGCATTTTTACAAGAATCTAAAAAAATTGGTACGTAAGGTCATGAAGAAATATTTAAAAATATGAAATGAATTTTTCTTTATCAAGATAAGATTTCCTTCAAGTAGGGTAAGCCTTTTATATTTATATATTAACATTAAAATCACAGTGACACACACAGTTTATTAATTCTTCTTTTGTTTATAATGTTTTAAACCATTTTCTTAAGACATATTCAAAAAGAAAAAAAAAAAAAAGAGAACTCATCGCTAGGTTGACTGTCATTTGAATTTGCCATTTGATCTTTCCGAATTTATATGTTCACATCCAATCATCATTTTATCCCAGTAATAAGCAAAAACTGGTTTGAATGTATCTAAAGCAAATAACTTTATTTCAGCCAAGAAAGTAAAGTATTAAAACACTTTTTATTTTTTTTTTATCTTTCAAGAATGACTATAAAACAGAAAATCTGTTGTAACCGGCCCATCGCGATTTATTATTGTTAATGAGCAATACACACCAATATCGTCTGATCTAGTCTCAAGTGGCCGGTCGAAGTAGAGGTGTTTAATGTGAATATCTCGCCAGTTGATAGCGGACATTAGATCGCTTTTGGAAGGCAATATCTGGTGCTAGATAATGAACAGAGGGGATCACAGCGTTGGCAGAGCAAAATGATTGCACACATTGAGGTTACAACAACAACTCATAAAGTTCGATTACCGAGTCTACACTCCTTTATACACTTTAATATTCATAATGGCTTATGACCTAATGTTGAAAAACAATGTAATCAGAGGGTAAAAGAAAAATTCGAAGAATCTCGACTCTCTGCCGACCCAGCTTTAATCTACAATTTATTCCAGACAACGGTTATAAATGAATAAAATAGATTATTTGCTATGCTATGTTACAGAACCTGCAAGAATCGTTGCAAATTCTGGAAGAGAATATCTACCAAATGTCTTGCTAAGACAGAAATTTTAAGAACTATATCTCATGAAGTTTAACACGTCTACCTATAATATTGGTAATATAAACAATAAATTAAACAAGGAATAAAAGAAGCGAGAAAACACAATTTAAGTTATCGATTGAAATGTGACTTGCCGAAATGTTACAAAAAAGTAATATAACTAAATAGACAATTTCTGCAAAGTGATCACCAGATATCTGCACTAAATTTCTATGCAAGATCAGGCAGAGTTTTAAGTATTTAAGAGCTGAACATACTTTTTTATTTATGTCAAAGTCTAAGCAAAAAGCCGTAACCTCTTGAGTTCTACATATATCAATATAAATGTTTGATAAATTAAGATTTGTATAAATAAATATAAATTGTTATCTCAAAGAGAGATATGTATTTGGAAGCATGGACCACCACATATATTATATGTGTTCATTCACTTATTAATAATTTTTCTGCTATATTTTAATTTATTTTAAATATAGGTGTATAGTGTCGATTATCAAGTTAACGTACTACTAGATTATTCGACGAAAATGCTTTCACAAGGCAGTCTACTTGTGATATGCTGATAAATTCCTTCGGGGCAAGATATAACATTCTGCGGCTTTCTACTTCTTTAAATTGAATGTTCATGCCCTATGAATCATCCCAATAAAAATTCTTACTTACTTGCATTTATCAAGTTAGCACTGCAAAAGTCCACTTTTTCATTCTCGAAAGCCTTTGATTGCTTTGCATTCAGCCATGCCATTTGTGGAGGCGTTTTATCAACCACACGTATTTCGGCGGACAAGTTATTGTCCACCAAATATGTCAACAAGTTGCGCCCGATGAAGCCGCAGCCTAAAAAGATTTATATTTATAATGGTATTTTGGAGAAAAAAATGCATATTGAGTAATTTCAAACCATTAGAGTAAATTGGTTTATTTATATGCAATTGAATCTTAGAAGCCGATAGTGTGAACAACAAAGAAAAGCAACAATTACTCATACTAGATGTGTAGTCCTTTGATATTGTAACTTACCTCCCAATAATAAAACAGTTGGTTTTTCAGACATATTTCTATTGTGTTTGCTTTTTTAAGGCAGTATCACTTTTTTTCAAAGATAATTATTTAACTTAACTATATACAACTCTTCTTATCAAAAGGGAGTTTATTAAGTTTATATCATTTGAATCACTCATATAACTCATATAAGTTATCAAGTAATCAAATAATTTGTAGAACGGTGCTATCAATTCATCGTGACTATCTGACAATCAGATGTCAATTCATCGTGATTATCAGAGTTCGCAGAAAGTACTGTACAGTTCTGCAATAAATCCAAATCAGCAATAATAGGAGTGTTCGTTTACTCGATAATTTGTATAAATATTTTACTTGTAAGTTCACCTAAAAATCCAGCTTTTACAGCTTACAGCATTTAAAAAAATCAGTTATTTTGTAAACAAACAAATTTAACCAATCAGAGAAGATGCAGGAATAATAGATATTTATTGAAGGCGGTATCTTTGTGCATGGGAACGGTTTTTGCTTATTAATATTAATTTTTATAATAAAAATGTAATTTATAATAGAAATGTAAAAACGAATAAATTTCATCATCAAAATATTTCTGCTGTTTAGATTTGTGCTTAGTTGTTAGTTGATGGATAATGTTGTTATCTTACAAATGTTTTACAAAATGCTGCTCGTTTATTTTTGCATTTTTTTCTCCCGAGGGAGAAAAGTGTGTTTTTCTCAGTAACTTCGTACTGAGTAAATGTTTCTGGAAAAGTAAACGAATGAAGTTGGTATATTTGTGCATGGAAACGGTTCACGTTTTTATCATTCATTTTTTAATGAAAATTTAAAAAAAAATAAATTCCCATGGTAGAATTAAGGTGAGTGTACATAAGCAGCTTGTTATCATGGCTAGGTATATTAATGTCAACTTGTAAAGGGAAACGACGGCAGCATTTGAGTGCGGCTCTGGCATCCCTTTATGATATGTCACAAAATTTGACATGCGAAGACTTCAAGCTGTTTATGTAATTTCACCTTTAAGAAGGTAAAGTCATACAATCATATATTTGCAATTTTTTTTTTCAAAATAATTTTTTCTTAGACAACATCTCACTGTCAAAATGTTTATTTACAAATCCATTGTATATTCACAAATCAGAGATGGCAACCTGTTTTCTACACAGTGTTTTATGACAAAGTAAATTACAGAAAATGCAGAGAAGGACATGCTTATTTGAAATGACTTTACATTCTTCGTTTTACAATGTAAACTCCATTAAGATATCCGTGGACTCTACGAAGCTTTTACGCCCCCTAATTAACCAGTGAACGAATTGGTCCACCGCAGTGGACACCCCAACGCTGGGGTGTTACGTATACCGTGCCCATCAGTGTTCTAAGGTTTGCAGTCAGGGTACCGACTGTATTTGAGGCTACGTCATGGCGGACATTGTCACCTCCACAAAACAAACTTTTTATGGAGAACAGAAAAATTACCTTCGCCACAAAAACAAACACAATTCCCGACAACAACTCAACTGCCAATGACGGGGACACATCTATGATCCTTAATGCGGGTGGGGACGAGACTCTAATTACGTACAGAGACGTGGTATGCGAAAGCATGCTGAAACAGAGCGAACAGCTGCCCGCCCTTCACGAACCCGAGTCTCAGCCAGGAGAGCGTTCCCTCTGGTTTTGGAAATGGTTCACCTCTCTCTGATGAGGAAGTCGACGTTAGCGTCATACCCTCATCTCAGAGAGTTGAGTCAATCCAAAAACCACAGGGAACACTCATTTCGGTGCTCTGGAAAGGTCAGACATCTACTAAGGGAAACCATCGGCATACACCGATGCGGTTAAACTCCAGATGCAGGATGCCATTGTGGAAGGTGATGTGAGAGGTACTACACCTACCTATATCCCAAACAACCGCGGTGACTCCGGCTCAAAGGAGGCAAAACCAAAGAGGGGTTGCAAACGGTTGGTGAAGTACTGTAGAAATTCATCGACCGCGATCCCTCTCAAGTTACATAGAGGGAAAATACTCTAATCAAGGCGAACCTTAAGGCAGTGCGGAAGATCGAAAAGTACCATACGCTACTGCCATAGTGTTCCCTTGAGAAGGTGCTCGTTTCTCTACTAATCGATCTTGTAAAGAAGTAAGTCCACCTGTCCACTCAACCCTCGAGCCACAGAGGCAACAAAAAAAAATTTCTCCAGACTGTCTACCCGGACAACATCCGTTTAGTAGTCATCGACCTTGCAGAGTGTGAAGGCGACATCAGCGAAAGTCGGCGTCTACTGACCGTATGAGGGAGCTAGTCTTTCTTGGGGAAGATGTGAAAATGAGGAGTTTAAAAACTTCCTCATCACCACAGTAGCTGGCTTTCACGGACTTTGGGAAGGAAGTGAGCTGGCGGCTGTATACCTAAAGGAAATACCATGCAGGAAGATATTGTTGCAGGGATACCGCCACCTTTGATGGACCCGACACGTTTTCTGACAGTATTAGGAAATCCGAGTGTCAACTCTGTACAGACAACTGGAGATTAGTCGGTTCATGTACGGAGGGTGGAGGTCTGACCATCAAGGTATCTGCCGATACCGCTGGTCAGGATAACCGTCAGGCGCGTCCACGCCGCTGCAGTAGGAGTTAGGAAGCAGCAGTAAGGATAACAATGTCAGAGGTGAGTCCATTTTTGATTTTATTCTTATACATAATCTCAAAATATGTAATAGGGGAAATGAGGCTACGTTCCAGAATAAGGATATGGTGGCGGTCATTGATCTCACCCTAACGAATATGGATAAATCACTCATACAGAACTGGAAAGTATCCTCGAAATGTTCGTTCTCGGACCACCGGAGGATCATATTCCAAATTTCTGTGGAGGGATTTCATCAAAAACCCCCTAGGAATCCAAGGAAGGCAATATACTGGTCGACTCAGCCTCAAGAGTAGAGGATTCAGAAAATTTCTTAACAAATGCCTTACTTGAATGCTATGAGAAAGCTTGTCCGCATACATTCCCTGGCAAGAAATACTAACCGGTTTGGTGGTCAAAAGTTAGTTATACAACATGACCAACAAGATCTGGGTTAAGTCATCGGTTGGAACAAAGGATCGTGGGCCAAAATCGAACTAAGCTAACCTAAAACTCCTTTGTTCCTATACGAAGAAGCCATCCGATGACATAAGCCACTCAAAAAAGCGTTTTACGTATTCTCCCCTTAACTCTGTCCCAGAGACCCTCAATCTGTTGGCCAGTATTTACTTTCCGAATTGCAAAGAGGCGTCAAGCGTTCGTTGAGCGTTGATTAACAGCGTTGATTAACAGCATTGCAAGCATTCCCAAAATCGCATGGGCCATTGACACTTTGAAACCTTTCAAATCACCAGGACCGGACCCCACCATGCTTCGGCGGTAATAGTACCGATTCTGTAAGTGATCTTTAAGGCTTGCTTGCGTCTAACGCACGTAATATCACTGTGCATTCACTTATATTTCCAAGGCAGGGAAGCCAATTCATTCACTCCCCTAGGACTACAGGCCTATTTAGTCTTTCATCTTTTCTACTGATATTTAACTTATAGATGCTGGGATTAGATAAGCACTTCCCAACACGCCTATATGAAAGGAAAATCCGTTGAAATAGCGCAGCACGACGTCGTGGGTTACATCGATAAAAACCACAATAGCTCATGTTTCACCTTAGGAGCCTTCCTCGACATCGAAGGGGCCTTCAACAATGTCACATTTGAGACAATTCATAATTCTCTCAAAAACCTGAGTATACCACTACTCCTCATTAATCGGATCGATGTTATGATCCTCAACTCAAGCATGAGGGAGTGTTACGTCAGGAAATCAGTGACCAGTGGTTCTCCTCAAGGGCTTTTGGTGATAAATACTGTACTAATACTAACAAACCGGAGCTAAGGTCGTGTCCTACTATGACGATGGGGTTCTGCTGATTGCTGAGAAATTCCTGTAAACTATTTCGGACCTAATGCAAGGAGCTCTTGTGAAATTATCAAAATGGGCTCGTGGCAATGGGCTTTGCGAAAGCCCTTCCAACACAGCTCGTTCTCTTCATGAGGAAGCGGAAACTCCTAGAGTTTTCGTCACCATTGCTGGATGGAGTCACGTTGAGTTTTTCCTCTGAAGCCAATTATCTCGGTACTATCCTCGACCAGCGACTAAACTGGAAGAGGAATGTCGTGGTGCGCGCTAATTGGGGCTAAATAGCACTCTACTTTTGCAGAAACTCTATAGGAAAGATCTGATGGTTGTAGCCGCACATCATGAAAACGTTATATGACTCTATTGTCTGTCCGATTCTGACTTATGGAGGGTTGGTTTGGTTGCACACTCTAGGAAGAGCTTAATTCACCATTGACAAAGTCCAAAGAGTGGAAACTTTATTAATTACAGGTACATTCAGGAACACACCCCCATCTGCTTTGGACACCCTTAGACACCCACATCTGCTTTGGACAGCAAGATGCGCCCTGAAACTCAATGAACTTGGACAATGTGTTAGTCAATCTTTTGTATAGTCGGTCATTTTGAAGTATGTGGAGAACATAGGGGGTCGGGCTGTAACCCGTGACTTTATTTCACCGAATCACTGGAGCCTGAATATCGGGAACTTCTTCAAACTAAATAACGACTGTAGCGTATTCCACACAGAGATCTTCGCTGTCAGGGAAGCCATAGAATTGTTGGTGAACAGAATCGATGAACTGAACGGACCGCTGACTATATATGTCGATAGCCAAACGGCCCTGAAAGCGCCATATTTATATATCATGAACTCTATGGTAGTTCTGGAGTACAGGAATGCCCTGGAAAAAGTTAAAGGTGCAAGTACATAAAAAGCTTGTCATCGCTAGTCAAATTATAATGGAAAACGAAGACAGGATTTTAGTGCGGCTCTGTAATCCCTTTATGAAATGTCACAAATTATGCCTAGCCATTAATTCAAGCTTCTTATGTACTTGCACCTTAAGTCCGTCATCAAGCTTTGTTTAACTAAACTTGCAAAAATTGAATTGAAAACTTTATATATTCCGCCTTACTTGGGATGCCATATGAGCCCAATAATACTTTTCCCCTTAACCGTGTAGGGTTTTATATATATATATATATATATATATATATATATATATATATATATATATATATACCTTAACGTAGTCCTATCGTGGGTCTTATCCTTATCTTATCCTTAACTATATTATTGATGTCTTTTGTTATAATTTGGACACTTTTGGGTTCTAATTCTTCCGATTCACAGGGATCTCTGACTGGCAAGCTTTCCCTGTGAGTTACAATGTCGACATACAGGAAATTTTTGGGTAATTGTGTCTGCTTTCCCACACCTATAGCAGAAGAAGACATGCCAATTTCGCGGCAGTTCAGTTTATTATTGGAACTCTAAGGTTGGTTTTCTAAACGAATAGCTGACAGACTTTCATCAGCATTCTCCTCTGGCACTTTTACAGGTTACTCATATATTTCTTTTATTTAGCGGATTGGTCGTTGGAGACCATCTGTATACGTGCTTGTGGAAGCTTCGTTTGGCTTCTATACATTCTATACCCAGTTGTGCAGCTGACGAGATTATCATTTGATACACTATTGGTATTCGTAAATCCCCATTGGAAGATACATTATTCTTGCAGATTGTCACCAATGTAAATATACACTCATCTTTCAACATCAGTTGTCTCTATATAAGGATTTTTTATATGTAATTTTTGGCTTTTTCTATACTCTTCACAATAGCATGGAGAGTATATTAAGTTTGTCATTCCGTTTGTATCATCTCGAAATATACAATTTAAACCACACATTATATATATATATATATATATATATATATATATATATATATATATATATATATATATATATATATATATATATATATATATATATATATATATATATATATATATATATATATTCTATGTCGATAACCGTCCGCCTCGAGGGACCTCATTTTGTAACAATTCTTGGGTGGTGCGTGCTGAGTCCTGTTGGAATGTCCAAAGTCTGCGGCCAAAATGTTTGCGTGCCCAAGGCTTTAATGCACCCTCCACAATATCTTCGCCATAATATTCGGCATTTATTCTGATCCCACGGTCGATTAATACGAACGGAGAGTGACCATCGGCTGTTATGGCGGCCCACACCATCACCATGGCCGGCGCTTAAGTTCTGGTGGCCAACCGAAAGTGCACATTTTCAGCTAACCTCTTTGGCAAGTAAACACGATCATTTTATGGTAGAAAACCAAATTCGTCAGTTCATCAATTTCGGCTAAACGAAGCAACTCTTTAGCTCTTTTGAGCATATTTGCTTTCTGTTGCGGCGTAAGTTCTTGCACTTTTTGGAATTTCAATGGCTTTACCCCGAGCTCATTTTTCAATATGGAATGGAATATTGCGATAGGTTCAGCTCACGTTTGAAGTTGGTTGCAGTTTTTTCATCTCACCCTGTATATACAATTTACTTATAGCCCTACAATATAACTGTACCTCCAAATATTTTAATGTTTTTAGCGTAATAATAGTTCATCATGGGTACTACAGTCTGTGACGGAAAATGACTATGCAGGTCCACACCTTTGTATAAAGACCATACAACGGTACCTCCCTATATACGGTATTTTGCTGGTTTTAGTGACATTATTCTCCGGAATTGTTTCAAATTTCGTATTTGCACTTTGCAACGGGTACTACAGCTTGTAACAGATAATTGCCACGTCCACGTATCCGTATAGACTCCAAAATAACGGTAGCTCCCTGTATTCGGTATTTTTATGATTTTCACAGAGTTTTTAAACGCTTCTATTTATACCCTACAACACTATGTGTTGGAAGTATTATAAGTTTGATTGGGCCAAAAATTATGTAACACCTCGAAATATTGGTTTCCCACATAGGAAAGTATATATGGATCTTAATATCTCACCGAGATGGGTCGATCTAGCTATGTATGTCTGTCCGTCTGTCCATTTCAATATGTAATCAAGCTACAGGTCGCAATTATTAACCGATCCTCACGAAATTGAAATTGGAGGCGGGGTTATGGTCAGAATAGAACCCTATTGTTTCTGGAGATGATCGCACGATATTTAGGGGTTGAAATAGACCAAAAACAGGAAAAATTCCTGATTTTGCAGTTGCTCTATAGACCACAATTATGAACCAATCGACGCGAATATTTACATGGAGTTAGAGTTTAGGAGTGGGCAGAAACCTACCAATTTGGGCGGCCATCGGACAATAATTAGCGGGTAAAATAGAGCCTTACTTTTATGTAAGAAAATAGGAAAATGTCCACTAAACCGCGAATATTTCCAATCCCAGCCAAATCACAAATACATAAAAAGATCACTTCTGATCGTAAGAGTGATGCTAATAGCCAAGATATCGGATATATAGCAAAATATGTACAATATACATGTAAAAGAATAGATGTTATTTATTCTGCTTATAAATCAAGAACCGCTGAGCCGATTTTCACAATTCCCATCAATTCGGAATGATCTCTTACCATAAAACGATAAAATCTAAGAAAATATACCAATAAAAAAGTGAATATCTTTTGTCGATTTTTTTTTCAATTTTTGTCATATTTTTATCGCATGCGATTTTTTTCAATTTGACTTATAATTTTGAATTGTAAATTTTCAAAATTTTTACACCCCCGACACTACGTTTTGATGGTATTATATGCATATCGCAATTATCGTCCGATCTACACGAAATTTTGCATGGGGGTAGGCTAAGGGTCAGAATTAAAGCATATTGTTCTTAAGATGTGCATTTAGAGGTGCAAATAGACTAAAAAAAAATAATTTTTCTAATTTTGTAGTCGCTCTATAGGCCACAATTGAAAACTAATCGACACGGAATTTCGCATCAGAAGAGAGTTAAGGACAGGGAAGAAGTTTAGCATTTTGGATGACCATTGGATTATATTTAGCTGTAAAATATACCACAACTTTCGTGAGATTGTTTTGAATACCTAACAACACTACGGAGTGCGTAAATATTGACCAAATTCTCCAGATCAAAAAACTAAGGGTAACCTCTGGGCGGGGCTCTTTGACATTATTTCAAAAACAAAATCTTCCAAAATGGATTTGGATATAAGGGGACTTTGAACATATTGTAATGTTGTAGGGTATCACATGGTCGGCCCCGCACGACTATAGCCTTTGCTTACTTGTTTTTATTTTATTTATTTATTATTATACCCTACAACACTATGCGTCGGGGGTATTATAAGTTTGATTGGGCCAAAAATTATGTAACACCTCGAAATATTGATTTCCCACATAGGAAAGTATATATGGATCTTCCTATCTCGCCGAGCTGAGTCGATCTAGCTATGTATGCCCGTCCCTCCGTCTGTCCATGTTAATTTGTAATCACTCTACAGGTCGCAATTATAGTCCGATCCTCACGAAATTGAAAATGGAGGTGAGGTTATGATCAGAATAGAACCCTATATCTTTTGGAGATGATCGCATAATATTTAGGGGTTGAAATGGACCAAAAACTGAAAAATGTCCTGATTTTGCAGTTGCTCTACAGGTCGCAATTATATCCCAATCGAAGCGGAATTTAGCAGGTGGCTAGAGCTTAGGTCTGGGCAGAAGCCTTCTAATTTTGATGGTCATCGGGTAATATTTAGTGGGTTCAATTGACAATAACATTTGTTTTAAATAAAAGTCAAATTTTCCATTAAACAGCGAATATTTTTAATTCCGGCGAAATCACAAATAGACAAACAGGTCAATTCTGGCTGTTACGTAGATGCCGATGTAAATATATCGGATATATATAGCGAAATATATACAATGTATATATATAAAGGAAGGGGATGTTAGCTAGAATGCTTATATCTTAAGAATGGCTGGACCGATTTTGAAAAATTTTGTCAATTCAGAATTCTCTCTTGGCATAAAAGTATAAAATCTAAAAAATCGCGTAAAAAGTTGCCAAAAATGATGTTAATATAGATTTTTTTTAGCATTTTATTACATTTTTTTATTTTCTTCATATTTTTTATCGCATGCGATTTTTTCAATTTGACTTATAATATTGAAGTGAAGTGAAGGGCTAGGCCTATTGTTTTTAAAGATGTCCGCAATATAGTATTTAGGGGTTTAAATGATATAAATGAATGATGACCATTGAACTACATTTAGCTATAAAATGGACCACAACAACTAACAGCACGACGGAGTGCGTAAATATTGGGCAAATGTCCCTGGTCAAAATGCTAAGGGTAATATCTGGGTAGTGGTCCATGACATAATTTCAAAAGCGAAATCTTCCAAAATGGATTTGGACATAAGGGAGCTTCTAACATATTGTAGTGTTGTAGGGTATCACATGGTCGGCTCCGCACGACTATAGCCATGCTTACTTTTTTTTCAAAATTTTCCAAAAGCTTGAGTCATGGCTAGGCATATTAATGTCAAATTATAATGGAAAACGATGGCAGGATTTTAGTGTGGCTCTGTAATCCCTTTATGAAATGTCACAAAATATGCCTAGCCATAGATTTCAAGCTTCTTATGTACTTGCACCTTTACACCTTTAAGGTGAGAATACATAAAACGCTTTTTTGACTGGCTTAAGTCATTGGCTGGCTGCTGACACATGATTTTTTATGTGATCTCTTCTTATTATCCTATCTGCCAAATTGATAATTTGCAAAGCATTCATATTACCATTCTCACTTGTCATTTCGTCGGGTCCTATTCTTCTCTGGAAAGTGAGTCGATCTATGTCAAAGGATTCGGGTCTACCACTTTTTATTCTTTTTCTACTACGTGCATTGTATCTAAGTCTTATTTCTTGAATAATGTTTTAAATATTTTTATATTTTTGTAACTTAAAACATTAATACCAACCAGTTGTGACATTTTGCTACATTAGAATTCTATAGTAATTTTTCAGCCAGCATTTTGATAGCATGAACACACATACATCTTCTTTCCCATATCATGTTATCAACAAACGCAAATACACATAATAATCTCCCTGTGCCACAGTGTGGCGTGGGGCATATAATAATTTGTCATAAAAATATTCATATACGACGCCATTTTTTGTGAAATGAAAGATTAGTGTTCTTATATTTATTTATTTTTATTTATTTTGTATTTTAGCTATTATCGAACTAACGATTACTTTTTTTATTATTATTTAAAATGCATTTGCTTTATGGACTGACTGACTTTGTTCAACTTAAATTCAAAAAAGAAAAACATCAGAGTAAACGAGAGAATAGATTTTAAATATAGTGGCGGGTTATTTAAAATAAATTAAGACACTATTAAAATATAACTAATACAATTAAATACACACATATTTTTGAAGTCACAGCGACAGTTAAGTTAAAAACTAGCCACGCCAACAACTGGCTAATTATCTTTTATCAATCATGCTAAGAACTTTGTGACAAAAGGGGAACAATAATATTTTTGTCGTTTTCAAAATAATATTATTGCTTTACAGATAACTTTACACATGTATGTTTCGAGTGAAATTGTTTTTGTGGTGTTTGCATACTTTTTTCGGTTAGCATTAAAAAATGTTTACATCAGTTTAGGCTTAAAATTAATTAAAAGACTGTTTAAGCTTTTTAGAATGCCAAACCAGCATCGCGATAAGTGGTGAAAATCTTTTCAATTGAGTTGACGTAGGCAGCTGTTCTCAAATCGAGACCCAAGTTGTATTTCATAGCGGTCTTCATGATAGCACGAGCAGAACGCTCCATGGTGTAGTCCAAACCAGAGTGGACAATATCCTTTTCAGAGGCACCGGAGATACGTTTTTGGAAAGCTTCGGATGGAGTAACAGGGATGCGACCACCAACGCGACCAAAGCGACGTTCCAGTGATTCTTGTACGGATTCTAAGAGAGAACAAAAAAAAAAAAACAACGAATCATGATATTAATAAGTACGCCACAAGGTTCAACAATTAATGCATGTAGGATACACTTGGGAATAGGATAAATCATTATTACTACAAACATTTGGCATATACATACATAAGGGATAGGCAAGCAGTACATAAATAAAACTACATCTACACAAAAGAAACAAAAGATTGGGCAAATAGTTTTGATGTAATGCGACAATCTTCTATTTACCCGCGATGCTTTTGAATCTTCCAAGATACTATAACTTGAAAAACACATGTATATATTTAATTTTACAAATCAATGAGTGACATTCAACAAAGTTTTAGAAAACGAATTCCAAGACTATAAAGGTTTTCCCAATTACATATTTCTTTTTTTTTAATTTGTCTGTAAATATAATTTCTTGTAAACAACATTTACTTCCATTGGTCATGCTCACAAAAGCACACCTCATTACAACCCCGGTGTTCGTTTTCACAACAAATATGCATTTCAAGTGTAGCTACTACAAATATAAACTAATGATGCCGTGACGAATAAAAACCAAAATATTTGAAATGATACAAATAAAACAAAGGTGTAATAAAATAAAAACATGAAACTGTACCGTCCAAAATAAACCGTTCAATAGACTGTTGTACTGAAGCTATATTGATTTAAGAAGAAATAGAGAAACGGAAAAAGAATAAACGAATTACTATGGTAAAAATGCAATATACCACACATACATACAATACAATAAATACTATATATATGAATCAGAGAACGGTCAATGGTCTGGTCTTGTCTTTCGTTAGTTCTTATAAAAATGGGCTCAAAAAAAATATACTTATAAATGAATGATTGTAATTACACCACACGTTGTCATGTCTGTGAAGCAACCCAAAGATATTTGTGGCAAAACTAATCTCAAATTTATAACTTAGCAAAATAAAAATATCGGATAGTAAAAGCATCAATAAAACCATAGCTAAGCAATAAAATGATTACTTACCCAACAAGTGATAGTTTGATTCACGTTCATATTTGAAAGTAAGACGACCGTATGAGACATGATTCAAGTTCTTTAACCATTCGAAGAAGGAAACAGTTACACCACCAGCGTTGATGTACAAATCGGGAATAACCAAAATGTTGCGGTCAATCAAAATCTTATCGGCAGCAGGTGTAGTGGGTCCATTAGCAGCTTCGGCGATGATCTGTGATCATGTGTAAATTAGTTTGAGAGTTTTAACATTATTTTTTTTTTTTTTTTTTCAGAATACAAACCTTAGCTTGGATTTTATGGGCATTCTCGCTATTGATAACTTTTTCGACAGCAGCAGGGATGAAGATGTCGCAAGGTTCGAACATCAGATTTTCACCTTCATAGGGCTTGGCATGAGGGTATCCCACGATAGTTCCATGTTCATTCTTGTAATCTTCCAAAGCCTAAAGAAATATAAGAAAGTACTTAATAGATTTGTTTTATAATTAAATAATAGCAATGTTCTGATTTTGATTATATCATTTTTTATAACGATTTTACTTTTAATCGCGTTCGTTAAGTCTGACAATGCTTAGTAACTTAAAGAGAAAAGTTCGGACGTCTTATGTCTCTCTCCCTCTTCCTCTTTTGCAATAAAAGGATAATGGGTTTACAATTCAATAAGTTATATTAAAATTAAAAAAAAGAAAGTACATACCTTAGGATCAATACCCTCGGGATTGAAAATGCAGCCGTCGTGTTCAATAACACCAATGCAAGTGGCACCGGCACGAGTCAAATAACGGGTGGAGTGAAGACCGACATTACCAAAACCTTGGACGATAAAAGTTTTGCCACCCCAGCCGGGAGTTGTACCGATCATGCTCATGTAGTTGGCCTCGTTAATGAAATTCTCCAAACCGTGGAAAACACCGCGACCAGTGGCAGATACACGACCATGAATACCACCTTGATTGATTGGTTTACCAGTTACACAAGCATGGGCATTAATATCCAAGTGACCGATAGTTTTGGCATAGGTATCAGCGATCCATGACATTTCACGTTCACCAGTACCCATATCAGGAGCTGGTACATCAACGCCGGGTCCAATGAAGCCCTTCTTGGCCAATTCAAGAGTGAAGCGACGAGTGATTTTCTCCAATTCATGTTCTGAGTATTCTTTGGGATTGATTTTCAAACCAGCCTTGGCACCACCGAATGGTACATCAACACAGGCACACTTGAAGGTCATCAAAGCGGACAAAGCCTTAACTTCATCGCGTGACACATCCATAGAGAAACGGATACCTGTAAATATTGCAAGAAACAATTTTTAATTTAAGGTATTACTCATAAAACTGGGTGTTAAGTAAAATATAACCAATAGTATGATCAACAATAATGTTTCAGTGTTGCAACAACATACAGCCACCATGCCATTTGGAAAATGTCCAACTGTTTTCATTTTCTTTTTATGCAAAATACTTTGAATTTAGATCCTGAAAACGTATGTTCATTCAAGTGTGTTTGTAGAAGTAAAAATTGCTAAATAAAAAACTATTTCAAGGTGCTGTTGCAAAGTCTATTGACTTGACAGCAATGGCGACCCAATTGCAACACAATGTGAATGAAGATCGATTAATGTGCCACGTTTTTCTCTTGCTTTCATTCTTTTTATTCATATCGACAAGTAATTGTGCCAGGAATATTACGAAATTAACATGCCATATGGCAGAAGCACGTGATTACAAAACGTGTGTAAAACAAGTGGCACATGTGATTTCTACAAATCAAAACAAAAAGAAAAAAAATACATTGCTCTGAAAACAGATGTTAAGGCATTGTCATTTTTTGTAGAGTTTGCTATAAATAACAATTCAAAGGAATTTTTATCACAAAAGCACATATGTACGTGGGACTTTGGGAGCGATAAGATAAACACATATCTACAGATATCGTTTTTAATAGACGTTATAAACAAAATGCTTTGAAAGTCTAATATCAAATTCCATGTTTTCTAATTGAATACAATAAATATTCAAAAGGTGGACTATTTATCGTTTTGGATATAAAAGGCAATCTATGTTTATGATATTAAAAAAGGCTTCTATACTTTGATATGGGCCCTGAGATACATATATGATTGATAGGAGTTACCTTTTTACGTTTTCAATCCTTCTTTAAAAAACAATTTATTTATTGAAACTAAGCTATTGAAAATAGATTCATTCAAATTGAGTCTGATTAAGAATAAAATATGTATATTTCTTGTGTTTAGCCACATCCAATATTTACCCGAATCCCATCAGAAATCAACATTTTCCAGATATTGTTTATGTACGACCGAAATTTTTCATCATTTTTAGATTTAATGATTTTCTTATATTTTAAGGAAAATGAATGCATGTATGCTGAAAAATCATGTGGGAAATAATTCTGCAACTTGATTGCTACGCATTTTGCAAATAAATAGCGTGTCCTCAGACATTTTCATCAGACAATATTTCGACTCACGTAAGTCATATAGAACATTTAAGAATGGATGTAGACTTAAACATTGCAATGAAAATATCTTGAAAATCATTGAAAAGGTCTAAAAGCCGCATTCCATCTCATAGGTTTGATCTTTTCTCTCATATCTCGAGGTTTGTGTATCTCATCGTCCAGGCATAGATTTTCCAAAACTCAAATCGGCTTCTAGGTTTATTTTGTCAGTATTTTATATTGATCGAAAACAAAAATTCTCCATAGGTAGTCTTTTATTCATTGTATGTTTTGAAAGACTAGTTTTTTTAGACCTAGGAAAGTTTAGCTGGGACATTTTCGTTCCCCTTTGACCATGCCCCCCTTGTGTTCGTTTTCAGAAATTTTTGTTTTTCTATTATTTCCTTTTTTTACATGGTCTTTTTCTATTCTTGCATTAAATATCATAGAAAGACACAAAAGGCATTTCCTCGTAACGCTCCTTAATACAAAGAGCGAACACAACAAGTAAACTTTAATAATTTTAAACATTATATATTAACTTATTTATTTCGATTAGGATATACGAATAAATTTCCTTTGCTTTAATCTAACAAAAATTGCATTTAAATCTACAAAACAAAAAAAATAGAAGGGTATCAGCTGATCCTGTCGTTTGATCATGCGAACGTAACGAAAGCAAACCATTTAAAATGGATTGTTTATTAAACAAATATTTGATTAAACTGTACCACTTCTAAAGAGCATTCGAAAACAACGAATAATTTATGATGCCATCTCACACGATGAACATAAAACGGCAAATGGTATATAACCTTGTTGCTGCAGAGAATTTTGCACCATTGGATGACAAAAATACAGTTTATCAGTAAAAAAAATGAAAAAGAGAGAATGGCGTTTATTTGCCGAAATAAACGTACAAACAGCAATACAAAATGGCAAACTAACAACAAATAAAATAAGCAAACATCGTAAATGATAATGAATAAAAATTATCGGGTATTTGGTATGTGTGTTGGTGTATGAGTAAACAACACTGAAGATCACCATTGCAGAATACCAACACCACAAGTCCCGATTTTTTGGCCAACGCATACATACATTCATCGCGTGATAAAAGCGTCAGTTTGTAAGAGGTTATTCTAATCAAAAATTTATTTTGAAAAACAAAAGACGTATTTTGACAGAACAAAAAGCAAAACACGTTGTTAGAAAAAAAACAAGTAGCAACAACTTAGCTGGCAAACAGTGAAAATTGGGGGCTCGATCACTCGTCGCCATGTGGGGTGTGTTCTTTATATAGCAACAGATAAAGACCAAGGTTAAAGAAACTATGCTGGCCGGTTGTTATTATTTACGTATTTGCTGTTTTCTTATAAGACATCAGTTCCATTTATACAGTAGATAAGAAAAAAAATAATAATGGCTACCTATATTCCATATATATGTACAGCCAGCACGTATGTAGGACCTATCGATTGTCACCGTTCATATGTCTGTAAAATAGAGAACGTCATCACGGCGGCTATGCTACAGTTTCTCTAGCTAAAAAAACAGCCAAACAATTTGGTAGTCAATAAAAACTATTCACAACACTCTCTAATGAATTTGGTCACCTCCCATAGCTAAAAACAAAATATCAGAATAAACAGAAAAAATGAGTTGTTCGAATACATGCTTGCGAAATATTTGATTGTTTTTTTGTTTTTTAGTTTGTTGTCAGGTGACTTGCTGCGAACTTAAAAACAAGAACAATACATAGCCGCACACATCGTCGAATACTGTTTAGGTGGTTTAGTATACGCTTATATTTTTGAAACAACAACAACATCTAATGCTGGCATTTGCTCATACGTTATGTACAATGAAATTGAGAAATGATCAAAAATGTTTTCATAACTAAAATTTAAATAAATTTAGTAACTCGGACGAATTATATATCTAAATAAAAATATAGTATACTTTATGCTGATGCACATTAGAAGTTTAAGTGCAGAAGTCATTCGAGTTTATTTCGTGTTTATTTTAAGTTTCCTATAATCGATAGCAATTAGAAGACAATATAAATTTTATTTGAAATATATTGACTACCATGGATATTATTGTTAAACGATAATTATGTTTTTTCGCTAAATGGTGCAAAATTCAGAACCAAAAAAATCAAAAGGTATATGAGATTGCCAAACTTTGTAAAAAAAGAAAAAGATCGAACAAAAAAAAACAAGTAAAAAAACATTAAGTAACTTTTAATACCATCCACCTTAGGGTAAAGGAAACATTAGAACCCATTAGGACACACAAATACCAATTTGTAGACAAATTCGCAAAAAAAAATGTGGCAAAAATTATCAAAATACGGAATATCTGGAGGTATAACAAGCGTATGTAAGTCTTGTTGCAATAGATCCCAATTTGAAGTAAATGCTTAAAAACTAAACTTCAACTTTTTTACCTACGAAAAAAGAAAAAATAAATGACAAGGCAACAAAAAATATTTGAGACAAAATGCGGCATCTGACGAAAGCATTAAAATTAATCTAATGTAAAAGCCATGGTTTGCCATTGACAGAATTTCACTCCTCCTTACACGTTACGACACTGCCCATTTTATCAAAAACAAATATGTAACAACAAATTATTACTTCAACAATAAATCAATTCGATTCTCAAAAACAAAGGTCTATATTGTATAGTAAACTATAAACTAAATATACCCTCCCTTATGTAAGACGTTTACAATTTGATCAACCCAAGCTGTACATATGTTGGACTGTTTTGGTAAATTGATAAGCGTTGTAATTTGTCACAATATTTAATAAACAAATAAATGCATATTAAATTTATGACACATTATAAATTGCCTTCTATTTCCAGACTGTATTCATGTGTGCACGTTGGTGGGATGCTTTCAATGTAGCAATGTTGCATACAAGACAATGAGAAGGTGCATGTGTGGGGTGTACATCGACAGTGCATTTAGTTGGTTTATTCAACTGTCAAGTGATCTGTAGAAAATGTACTGAGTTTATCTCACTGTTTTATAGAAGTAATAAGCAATTTTTTTGGTTATTCCTGACTACCAATATCAGTAGCAAACTATCGTTTCTTCATGGATGGACGTATACATTTAGTGTACATGTCTACATCGAAAACCGGTATTGTTAGACAAATTATTAACACTTATTTGAATGTGCGTATGAATATGTATTAAATCAGTTGATTAAGAATAGTGGAACAACGACAGCAACCAATTCTAAAATCTTACTGCTATTCTGTTTATTCTACGAGAGCTATCTGGATTTGTTTATCAATAAGATAACATGTTTTTAGATCATGCGACTGACTTAGTTTCTGTTAAAATAAAATGTGGTTGCCAACCCGATTCTCGAATTATTATTTAACGATAACATATACTGCCCGCCTGGTGCAGCTATAAATGCTAACGTTTTTCACCAAAGTCAATAAAATGTCTTGTGTTAATTGATTTCTATTTATGACTTTGCCTTCAGTCTTTGGTGTGATAACGTTTACAATAAAACTCAACAAACAATTTCATTAGAATGTTTAGAAATTGTTATTCAAACAGTATGTATCTGTAAATAAGTACCTACCTAGATTACAATGATTTTGAATTGTTTGCTAACATACTGTTCTAATTTTTCTTTCTTATATGCCACTTGTAAATATCTAATTCAAATAAACTTCTAAAATTAGTTTGAAATTGCATAGAAGATATAAAAGTACCTACATACCAATACATTTGATATTTTTGAATTTATCTTAAAACTTCTAGACACACCCCTTTTTTGATTTCATTCATTTATTTATTTATATTGTTTGCTTTAGTTTGAAAATTCTACCATCGTTGTATTTTGAGATACTATAAATATTAGTAATAATATGAATTCCTTGAGTTTGTGATTTCAATTGTATAATTTATTCCCGTAAACAGGGGTCAATTTGACACATTCGAAAGAATTTCGATTGAAATGAATATAAATAAGGGGTCGAATTTCCAAATTCGATCGGGGTTGGGCATATTGCACAAAATTTTAGTGCACTAAGAATTCAATAATTAGTGGTAGTGCTATTAAAATTTCACTATCACTAAAGAGTAGGAAATTTATTTTTTAAATATCACTAAATGGTTAGTAGTAGCGCAATTTATTTTTTTTACTACCATCAACCCCTTAACTAATTGCACTACCACTAAATGAATAGTGATAGTGAAATTATTAGTGCACTAAAAATATATAGTGTACCCATCTCTGATAAATATCGAATGTTAGAGTTGAACCCCAGGTCATGGCCTTATAAGGTCAGCCAGTAGACCCATCTGACAACTTAATTTGTTGTCAAAAGAAATATTGTAAATTAAAATTTAAAGAGAGTCAAATCACAATGGCGCAAAAAGTACTAATGTATTGCCAACTTTTTGTCAATTGGAGTTTTTTTGAAAAAGGTCGGCAAGGTTAGGCCTTGCCTCAGTTGTTACTACCAACATTTTCAATCAAAATGGGCATATCGAAATTCATTTCGATCGAATTCTGTTATGTGCATTTAAGTTTGATTAAATGAAAAACGATTAATGAAAAAAGTTAAACAATTAATGACGATACATTTTCATTCTCATCAATCTGAAATAAAAATAAGAGAGAATTTTTTGTAAAATGTTTCACGAGGTGCTTTTAACTTAACTTGTTTCATCATGATTGAGAGCTTAAAATATGCGAAATCTTTATCCGTATATTAATAACAACAAATAAGTTAAACCGAAATTACAAAACTGTACTTTCCTTTCCATGTACATAGTGGCATTTTTTAAAGTTAGAAACTCATAGAATAAAAAAACGAATTTCGATTTCCTTAGTTTTGTCTTTTGAAAGTACCTTCAATTTTATAATTCAATATTTTTTTTCAAGAATTCAACTTTAAAATATGCAACCGTTAAAATATGAATAATTAGTTTGATACGAAAAAGCAATGAATGTACGAACGTATCAAATATTTGAGATGACAATTTTTAATCAAATTAATAGGGAAGGAAAATGCTGCTTCTATGCTACCCTACTGCGGGAAGTTATACAATTTTCTAATCTTCCCTTACCCCCAAATTCTGCAATTGTTCAAATCGACCGACACCATGTCACTAATTATGCACCAAACAATGCTTAAGTCGATTTTGCCAACAGTGCTAGATAAATATAGCATGGCTTATGTATGTTGTATAATTCAACATACAACCTCCAGAGGTGGAGATTGGTAAGAAGAAAAACAAAAGGGTTGCAATTGTGTAGGGTAGATGTATACACCTTATGCAATTTCTTTGCACTTGAGCATACAGGCAGACAGCCACCTAACTCGGGGAACACACAAACATACTGCAATACTCGCATATAGCAAAGAAGGAAACATTTTATTAGATAAAATATTTTCGTTTATTACTGAACGTACAATGTTTGCTTTCTTGTGCTTTTTTGGCCAAGTGACCAACAACACTAGAGATTGTGAAGACCTTCTATTAGCGGCAGAAAAAACAACAATCAACTGCAAAAAAATACTATGTATATACGTTTTTCCGTGGCGAATAATGCGTCAATAAGAACATGTTGAGCAAAAGGAAAGCACAAAAATGGGTATTACATAACCAAATCACATCAAAAATGACACTTTAAAATGGAACTGTGTGAACAAAAGTATGACAAATCAGGATTTAGAGAAATCTATTGATATAGAGATGGCACTGCTCGGCTAACATGAACATTTTGTGCTTTTATTGATAATGGACAATTTTATATTTGGATTTGTTACTTACCGCCCTTGGTTGGAACACGGTGAGTGCTGTGTTGAGCACGATAACCGGTAATAAGTTCAAAATCGCCGGAATCACGACGCAATGGGAATGCAATTTCAATGATGTGGTCACAGGGTTGCATAAGCATCAAAATACCCTTAACCTTCTTTTTCTTATCCTCCAGGGACAATTTGCCTTTCATGTCATCCAACAAGCGGTCTTCGGCGATTTGACAACCACGGTGGAAGAAGTATTCAACCATGTCAAAGAAGCGAGGGTCTTTGGCAGTGGGCACGTCCTTTAGACGGTCTGGAATTTGGTAATCGGCATAGCCGCGAGCCTGCAAAGCGGCAGTTGGCAAAGCCTTGACCAATGTTGCCGCTTCTTGGCGTATGGCGGCATGACGTGCTAAATTCTTCAGGTGATACATTTTTCTGGTGTTCCGCGAATACACTTCAACTCCTCACACACAAAACCAATATCTTACAGCTGCCTCGGCTATTGTTTAATCTCCACTGCCTAAAGTCGGTGGAGCTCTCAACCGATACCACGAACTGACTGACAAAAATTTCCTTTGCAATGTTTAAATTGAATTTTCTACGATTACAATCGGATATATTTGCTATGGTGTGTGTTTTCGTCTTCACAATGGTATTGCCAGACACAAATTCAATCTGACGTGGCCGCATATTTAATACGTACGATTTGTTGCAAGCAAACGTATCATTATTGTACGACCGACTAAGTGGAATTTGAAAAATGTAAAAATTTGTATAAGTATACAAAGCATATACATTCTTGACACGTAAAATACTAAGTCGATTTAGCGATGTCCGTCTGTCTGTTGTAATCACGCTTTCTTTCGAACAAATTGAGATAGAAAGGTAAAATTTTGCACACAAATGGGCCATGTAGGTCCACGTTTTCATATAGCCACCATATAACGATACCTCCCGATATTTGGTATTATGATGATTTTAGCGAAATTATTAACCGGAATTGTTTCAAATTTGGTTTTTAAAGTTCATAATGGATACTACAGGCTATGACAGAAAATTGTCTGTGCAGGTCCACGTCTTCGCATAGCCCTCATATAACGGTTCCTCCCGATATTCGGTATTCACCGGAGTAGTTTTAAATTACGTATTTGGAGTTCGTAATGGGAACTACTCTCTGTGACAGAAAATTGACTATGCAGGTCCAGGTCTTCGTGTAGCTCCGATATAACGGTACCTCCCTATATACGGTATTTTGATGATTTTAGGTATAATAGTCACTGAAATTGATTGAAATGCCGTATTTGAAGTTCGTAATGGATGCGACAGCCTGTGGCAGAAAATTGTCTATGCAGGTCCAGGTCTTCGTATAGCTCCGATATAACGGTACCACCCTATATTCGGTATTATGATGATTTTAGCTATATTATACGGCGTTTATTTCAAGTTTCGAATTTGAATATGCTGATGAATGGCTTATGACAAACAATGCCTATGTAGAACCACATCGTATAGACCCCGATACAACAGCTATATTCGGTATTTTTAAGATTTTAAGAGAATTTTTAACGGATTTTATTTTTGAAAATTTCCAAATTCGTTCCACATGGTGAGGGTATTCAAAGTTCTTTTTAACTTCTTATTATTCACTCTTTTTTGTAATGAAAATTTAAAACCAAATAAACTGCATCAACATATATCTGCTGTTAAGTTGTTTTGATAAATCAGCTATTATCTAACAAATGTTTTGCAAAATGCTGTTCGTTTACTTTTTCGTATTTTTTTTCTCAGTAACTTCTTACTGATTAAATTTTACTGGGGAAGTAAACGGGCAAATCTTTAATCAATTACATTATACACCAAAAGATTGACTTGGACAGCTGTTTTATATGGTTATGGTATGTCTATTTGAAAATAATTTTATTCTGTTCATATTTATGAATACAAATTACAGCTTTTGAGAAGAACAAATGTTTCTGTTTTGGGATGAAAAGGTATTGCAATCATATTATGACTCGATTTTGCAATCATATTATGACTCGATTTTTCCCGGTGTTCCATTCGTTTTTCGCGATTTCCTCTTCAATTAAAATATTGTAAGAAAAGTGTCAAAAATAAAACACCTTGTTGCATTAGTTATTAGTAAATTTGAAGTTACAAGATTGTAGCTTCAGGGTTAGGTAGTTTTATTCTCTTTTGCAAGGAAATTGCGAAAAGTAAACAGACGGTATTCCTGCAGAAGCTTGCAACTAATCAGCTGATTTGTCAAAACAAATCAATTTGTCCCCCATTAAAAGAATTAAAAGAAAGAGAGCACTACCAATTCTACAAGTTTTATAAATAAAAAGGAAATTGACAATAAAATAAAAATATGAGCAATAAAAGGAAGATAGATTTGATGTGTTCCGCGGAATCATTTAAACCTGTTGCTAATGGCATTTGTCTAAAAATGTTGGAAATATTCTTTTATTTTCTTTTTACATATTAATATTTACTTTTTTCACATTTTGTAAAGTTGTTCTTCAAAAACAATTAGTCTTGCTAATTCCAAAACAATATTTTCAAATTTAAAGCACAAAATAAAATAAATAAACAATAGAAAACATCTGATTGAATGTCGATGAATGAGAAGAAGAAGAGTTGCAAATGATTGCAAGAAGAAATTTGTCCAGCAAGAATTTGCAAACTCTCACTGAAACAACTGTCAAATTTTCTCTCTCCAACCGCTCTCTTTTGTAGAACTTTCGGGTTAACAGACGACTTCCAGTAACAATTTGTAACAATTGTTACAAATTTTAGGGTAACCAGACACACCTAATTTTGCCAACGTTGTACCCATGCACAGTGGTTCCACACGTATGGCAAGATGTGAAAACTAAACAACTAATTAATATGATTTTTTACACCTGTTGTACTTAGTGGATACCTGATTTCCTTACAAAATAATGTTAATATGGGCCCACAACTTCATATAGCTACCATAGAAACCTACCTCCGATTTTACTTCTTTGAAGGGCGTATGTTTTAAATCTAGCTTGAGTACATAAAAGACTTTTTTGACTGGTTTAAGTCATCGGAACAAAGGAGTTTTAGTTTGGAGTGTATGCACTCTACAAGAATGATGTTTGGTACCATATAACTTCTAGATTTTTTCATATTCAACCGAATTTTGCAATTTGGTAAAGAAGCCAACCGATGACTTAAGTCAGTCTAAAAAACGTTTTATGTATTCTCACTTTAAGTTAAACTTACTTAAGGCTTTCCTTCGCACTCTCAAACTTTTTTCATAAATCCTGGGCCTCAATTCTTGTTCTATGAAAATGTGAAATGAAAACTTTTGTAAAGCAAAAAAATGTCAAATTAAAAAATTTATAAAGGAAATATTTCTCATTTCATATTTTCATAGAACAAGAATCCAGCCCCTGGGCCTCAATTCTCGTTCTATGAAAATATGAAAGGAAAGCTTTATAAAAGAAAGACATGTCAAATGAAAAATTTTATAAAGAAACTATTTAAAGTTTTCATAGAACAAGAATGCAGCCCCTGCCTACCCAGAAAATTTGTTGTTTATCTGGGTATGTGGGCTAATCTGGATAAAGTTATATATCTAAACGCACTGTAAATGTACATTTAAGCTAGAAACAGAATCCTCTTATGTATCTGCACCAATGGCATTGAATTAATTTCAAATTATTGTATTCTTTTTTTTTAAACAATACACACACATACATAAAAGTTGTATATGTTTTGACAGAATAAGGGCACCAAACGAAACGAAAAAATAGGGGGTAGCATGTAGATAGGTTTGTTTTACCTTCAGTAATTTTGCTATGTAAGTTAAATGAACTAATGGTACTAGAGGAAGCAAAGGAACTGGATGAACGAAAGTATTGGATATAGCTCCGATCGTTCTTTCCACAGAATATTCAATTTGAACTTGTTCGCTCCGAAACGCGAACGACACAGAATAAACAATTGAAAGAATTCGTGAATTCTGTGGGGATTACTTAAGCGAACGATTATCGCTTTCCCTCAAACAAGTTCCAGTGTAGCCGGCATCGGCATCTGTTCATTCGTTTGCGTTAATGCATTTTAGAAGCTTTCCTATTTTAAATAAAACTCTAAAATTAAAAATTATAAATTTTTTTGTTCGGCACGAAGGATCTGGGGCCGCTGCACAGCGAACAGCACCATCATACGGTTGTAATCCAGTTGCTGCAGGAGAAGTTGGCAACCGCACATTTTCCACTACAACAACTAAGTGGAAGGCAACAAGCTGCCCCAAGGTTAGTAGCGCTATGAATTTAAAATAACATTGATTTTTTTTTACTTTTAGACCAGTACATTGTTCTCTATTCGAAAGTGTGCAAAAATGTTTGTTTTTTTGGCAATAGGTGTTATGACGACAGTTTATTTGTTGTTTTCCAAAATGTTTTCTTCTATATATCCCCTGCATTTTTTTAATTTTTAGACAGTTCAGTGCACTACAGAATATATTGGCTTCAGATGACAACATCGGATGCTAGCTAATTCTATAAATAAAAAAGTGTTTGTTTTGGCAATCGCAATCACAATTGCTGCCTTTCGCATATTTTGTTATCATCTATTCAACTCAACACAGATTGTATATACCTACACATAAATTGGTTTTGAAAGATACCCGAAACTCGCTGTTAAGTGTTCTTTGTTAATGGATAATGGATGGCATGACATGTGACGTGTCACAGTGTCAGCGAAAAGTAACGATAAGATTCTTTGCATTTGAATTCATTATCATTGATTGCACTCTTTTATGCATCGCAATGACATGCACATTACGCGTTTTGGCTCAAGTTGAGTTTTGTGGTTCTAATGCTCGTGAAATATAGATTACAAATTTTTGCAAGTTTTATAAAAAACTAGCTGAGCCGGCCGGTGTTGCTGGCCTTTAGTTTCACATATATTTCGTAAGAACTTAATTATCTACCAAAAAGGGTCCTATAAAATGTAATCTTATGACTCTCTGTTTGAGAAAAAAAATGCAAAATTATTAAATAATGTTGGATTGAAGCAACATGGGATGGGAAAAATGAATATTGCCGTATAATTTTCCTATTTTACCATTTTCCTATTGGGCCAATCATGGTACAATGAAGAGAAGGTAGGTCAACTTTGAAAAAATTGCAAGTATAGAGATCTACCTGTTTGGCTTATAATGTCAGAAATAGTATCAAAACAATAACAAAATCAAACAACTTGTTGCATTTATTTTGAATAAATAATTGAAAACCGCAAAAACTGAATGAAAGGTCAACACTTCTTTTCAAAACCAGGTTCTATATATCTCTAAAGGATTATTTCGCTACAAAAACTCTAGATTTCGTCGATGCATACGATTAAATAAACATTTTGAAAACATCCGAATTTGAATGTTTTCTGAACAATTTTTTGTTATTGAAAAGAAAACACATACATAAACAAATAAAGATGACATATAAAGCCAAGAAAATAAAAAAATTGAAATCATATGGTAGTTCTGCCCTACCTTGAATTCATTGTACCATGTTTCTATCTATATCCATGGTACAATGAATTCAAGGTAGGGCAGAACTACCATATGATTTTAATTTTTTTTATTTTTCTGGCTTAATATGTCAACTTCATTTGTTTATGTGTGTGTATCCTTTTCAATAATAAAAAAATTTTCAAAAAATATTCAAATTCGGGTGTTTTCAAAAATCTTATTGCAAGGTATGCGTCGACAAAATCTACAGTTTTTGTCGCGAAATAAACCATAAGAGATATATAGAAAATGATTTGAAAATAAATTTTGATCTTTCATTCAGTTTTCGCGATTTTTAATTATTTATTCAAAATCAATGCAACAGGTTGTTTCCTCTTTTTATTGTTCTGATAGCATGGTACAATGATATCAAGGTAGGGCTATGATACCATATGATTTCAATTTTTTTATTTTCTTGGCTTAATATGTCATCTTTATTTGATATGTCATTGTTGTTTGATTTTGTTATTGTTTTGATACTATTTCTGGCATTATAAGCCAAACAGGTAGATCTCTATACTTGCAATTTTTTCAAAGTTGACCTACCTTCTCTTCATTGTACTATGTTCTGATAGTAATTCTCATGGTACAATGAATACAAGGTATGCTAACTTTGAAAAAAATTGCAAGTATAGAGGTCTACCTGTTTGGCTTGTAATGTCAGAATTACTATCAAAACAATAAAAAAGCAAACAACTTGTTGCATTGATTTTGAATAAATAATTTAAAACCGCGAAAACTGAATGAAAGGTCAAAATTTCTTTTCAAAATTATGTTCTATATATCTCTTATGGTTTATTTCGCGACAAAAACTGTAGATTTTGTCGATGCATACGTCGCAATAAGCATTTTGAAAACATCCGAATTTGAATATTTTCTGAACATTTTTTATTATTGAAAAGAATACACATTCGTAAACAAATGAAGTTCACATATTAAGCCAGAAATTAAAAAAAATAAAATCATATGTAGTTCTGCCCATGGTACAATGATATCAAGGTAGGGCTATGATACCATATGATTTCAATTTTTTTATTATCTTGGCTTAATATGTCATCTTTATTTGTTCATGTATGTGTTTTCTTTTCAATAACAAAAAAATTGTTCAGAAAATATTCAAATTCGGGTGTTTTCAAAATGTTTATTTCAACGTATGCATCGACAAAATCTAGAGTTTTTGTAGCGAAATAATCCTTTAGATATATAGTACATGATTTTGAAAAGAAGTGTTGATCTTTCATTCAGTTATCGCGTTTTTCAATAATTTAATCAAAATAAATGCAACAAGTTGTTTGATTTTTTACTGTTTTGATACTAATTCTGACATTACAAGCCAAACAGGTAGACCTCTATACTTGCAATTTTTTCAAAGTTGACCTACCTTCTCTTTATTGTCGATGCATTCGTTGCAATAAGCATTTTGAAAACACCCAAATTTGAATATTTTCTGAACATTTTTTTATTATTGAAAAGAAAACACACACATAAGCAAATGAAGTTGACATATTAAGCCAGAAAAATAAAAAAAATTAAATCATATGGTAGTTCTGCCCTACCTTGAATTCATTGTACCATGATTCTATTTCTATCTATATCTGCAGTAATGCACTAAAAGAATTGCTTATATTTTTATTGAATAGGGAATTCGCTTGAAATTGTAAGCAACATAATTCGTAAATATTGACCGATCGAACGGTTTATTGTTTAAGAGTTTGAGAATTATCGGAACTTTACTGTAAACTTATCAAACTATTATCAGTAAACCGGCGATTTCAATAAATCTCATTATTTATTTGATTCTTGATAGTAAATGGCGTACGTATAGCATATAAATACAAGTAGTTTCCTTGGTATTTCATGGATGGTTAATCTACCTTGCATAAAAATTATGTAGGGTAAATGCGCCAATGGTCGACATGTAAGTATTTTCTTATCTTTAATTTTTTGTCTTTGTGATTGCAAACATAGAGATAAAGTTATTGTGACTACAACTTGTGTGCTTTTACGCAAAAATCGGCAAGGTACTTCAGCCCCATGTGCCTATATTCGACTTATGTATATTACCATATAGCACGTATCTTTGTACATATAAATGTACATATAAATAGAAGTTGAAATAAAGACAACTATTAAGCCAATATAAATATTTTTTAAAAAAATTAGTCAATCATTGTTCCCATACTTTATACTTTTCACTATCTTACCGGCTTTTGGAAGGAAACCACTAAATTTTAGCTTGGTTAAGTCAGTGTCTTTAACAATTTTTCCTCAGACTAATTTTCAATGTAACAATATACAGGGTGAGATGAAAAAACTGCAACCAACATCTCTAAGCCACTCGTCCGACAGCTGTTAAAATTATTTCAGCGAAAGCTGATTATATTGTTTACAAGCGTACAAAAGCATTTTGGTGAGAATTTTCCAGAAAAAAAGTTATTCCTGATGAAATTCAAGCGTGATAGTGTGATTTCTTTATATTTGGCTGAATAACCACAAGTGGCTATCGTTAGAGCACTCCAGCATTTTAATGTGAATAAATATTTTGTGTCTCGTACCATCGCTCGTTACCGACATCGATACTTTCCATCCACCAAAATCTCCGGATACCAATCCGTTGGACTATTGTGTCTGGCGTATTTTGGAAAGCAAGGTTGACACCAAAAAATACCAAAGTGGCGATCACCTCAAGCAAGCGCTTCGCCTCTGCTCCCGCCGAGCAACATTCGGGCAGCGTGTGACGGTATCATTGGCCGTTTGCCCATAATTCGTGCCAAAGGTGTCCAATTCGAACAAATCTAAACATATTCTAAAATTTGATGCTATTTTCGACATTTTTGCCTTCATCCAATAATATTTAAAATAATGTAAATATTGTGGCGTTGGACTTTGTTGCAGTTTTTCTCGCCCTGTAAAAATATATATATTTTTTTTGAATTAAATAAAAAAATGTCGACCAACGGTACTAACGGAACTGCACTAACCCTACATATCTGCTGAAGTGCAAAGGTTTGAGGTTTGCTATTAATCTCGATTGTTATCGAAATCAAAGATAAGGCTTTTCTTTGTGATTAGGGCCAAGATTAATTTGTTAATTCGACAAGTGCGTTTAGTCTAGATGACACTTTCGCTGTGTAAAAATGTGGGAACGACATGCAGAAGAGCCGAAAGTAAGACAAAATAATAAAACAATATAATAAATAGATTGAATTTCTCATATTCATTAACTTTCTGCCGCATTGAAATATAAGGAAATAATGTATTTATCCCCTATACAATCATTGTTATTTAAATGTTTTTTACGGGTTTTACTATACTACGGGATATACTGTGTCTCTGAAAATGGCTGCGATTTTTTAAACGTGTAACAACAAAGTTGGCAGTCACAGACATTCAAAACAAATATCAAGTGATTTGCAGTGCTGTACTGTAATGCGATAAATTCCACATCACATAAATTTGACTGTGCTGCAAAGATTTCACACAAGTCATTCAATAATTTTAACATCACCAAAAACGAAAACTATTTCTGTGCTACGAATATTTGAACACCACATAACTTTACAGACAGCAAATTCAAACACCACATTTCGTGACTACCAGTCACAGTCATGTGATGTTAAAATTATCGCAGCCCAGGAACAGTTTTTGTTTGTATTTTTTATGACTGACACTGCCAATGTTATGTGGTGTAAAATTGATCACAGCACAGCATGGCTAAAGCTTTTTGAAAACAGTGGCTACAAACTGTGCTGTAAAATTACCACAGCTGCATCATAGTCAAAGTCATGAGATGTACCAATTATCGCTGCCGAGCACAACATTCGTCTTTATTTTAATTCTCGATTTACGCTGTGACGTTTTATAGCCACAGTCGACGACTAATGTCGAAGACTGTGACAAATTAGCAGCAAATTAAAATAATGGTTTTATCATGCATGCTGGCGTTATTAAAATGTATTTACAATTCATTTTCTAGCATTTTTAAATATTTGAATAAAATAAATCTTCTTTTTTTGCATTTCAGATGGCAGTAGATTTAAAATTCAATGCCTCGCTTACCAAAAGTGATCCACATTTTAAGCCAGTGTTGATTATTGGTCAACTGAAGCATTTGAATCTACTCAAATTTTCCGATGTTGCTTGCAAATTGGAACCTCGCGTCACCGAGGACACATTTAACAAAGCCGTGTCGTGCTTACATCCCTCGCCGACTGATAAAATATCATTGTACTTGGACGTAGCCACCGTTGCTGCGGTACCCCTTAAGTGTTCACGTCACAATACACCTTCTCGAGCCCATGCCATAACACGTTTGGTAAAGAACAACGTTCTCAACGTTAGTGAGGAAAGTATTGTCATCGTTTGCGAAAAAGCAGACCTCTTCGCTAGCGCCTGTGCCGTAGTCCGTGCTTTTTCCCTATATTCCCGCAAGACTACAAACAATGTTAGCAGTCCTTCGTATAATCGTGCTGTTGATCAAGACGTGCCAATGAAGAATGCCGGTGATAATTCAGTCGTCAGCATTGAATTTGTCATTATTGAAAAGGACGGATCGGTCTCTGAGACCCCATTAGATGCTTCTGAACTTTGCTGTTTGGAGGTAGCAGCCAAAGGGGTCCAATTAGCAGCTCGCATTGTTGACACCCCATGCAATGAAATGAATGTTGATCATTTCGTGCAAGAGGCAGAAATAATTGGCTACGAACTTAATATCAAACCGCTAGTAATAAGAGGCGAAGAATTACGTGAACGTGGTTTTGGTGGCATCTATGGCGTTGGAAAGGCAGCCGCTGTGCCACCTGCGTTGGTAGTGTTGTCACATGAGCCAAAAGGCGCCCAAGAAACTATAGCCTTGGTTGGCAAAGGTATTGTTTATGACACTGGCGGTCTTAGCATTAAAGGTAAGACTGCCATGCCTGGCATGAAGCGTGATTGCGGTGGTGCAGCAGCAATTTTGGGTGCATTCTATGCAGCGGTAAAATGTGGATTTAAAGAAAATCTTCATGCTGTGTTTTGCATGGCGGAAAATTCTGTAGGCCCAAATGCAACAAGGTAATTATATATATTTTTAGAATTGAGTAGGATTCTGTTTACAATTTACATTCGAACAACGGCCCTATTATATTCATAGAAAATAAAACGTCGAATAAGTTCTTTGTTATAACAACTAATTCATAAGAGTAGAGTCGAGAAAAATATGAAAATGTTTATAAGTCAGGATATACGATTTAAAATATGTATAAGCTTATTTTGTTTTTTGGTTCCTCTTCTATTGAGTACGCGATCGTCACATGGGTATAAGTCGTAGGAGTTGTTCTTAAATAGCTCCTGTGGAGAATAACCCCAGACAAAAAAGCAAATAAACTGACAATTATTTGTGGCTCTTTCCGAAATCATACCTTTTATCTTCATAAATATTTTCCTTTTCTCCACAAATACGTAGACATTGTTATAAAAACCAAAACATTTTTACCGCAAATTCCATTTCATCTAATTTTGCACAATAAGAATCCGCTTTAGTCAGATGGAAACAATGCTGTTAGGCAGATGAAAATAAGGCACGCTCTATAACCCGATATACAATAGTATTCAATAAAATTTAGAACATATTGTTATTTACTCAAAAAATGGCATAACTCAAAAAATGTGCTTTGCGAGAAGACAGAAAGACATTAATTAAAATTTACGATTTCATACATTTTTGTGATTTCTGGAATTTTTTCTATTTTCAACATAAACTAAGCTACATTCTCTGAATAAGTTACGGTAGGTAAATCATTACTCTCCAATAGTAAATCATTTTATTGTAACAGGCCTGAGAGTAGAACTTGGTCTGACTACTGTAGATTGTAAACATGATTAAACGAGGTCATTAACGACTTTTTCCCTTATTTAACCTTAAAGCACTTTATTGGTTTAATACAACGGACTTTATTCAGGTCTCCTATTACCAAAATACGCCAGGTCCATGTTTTCAAACCTACCCAGTAGTAACAAATTTACTAAAATTAACAATTTTTAAAATTAGAAACCCCAGTCGGTTTAAATTTCCAGTTCCACTGTATATACCTCAAATAAATCTTCATAACGAAGGTTAACCCGGAAAAAGCTCTAACGTAAACATGCCTTAACATACAAATAAATAAAATAACGTTATGTCAAAGTTGAATTTGTTCAAGAGTGCAACTTCTCTTAAATATTGGCAGTCATGGTTAAAGTTACACATTGTTTTTTGGTCAGAAAAAGCTATACAGGGTGAGATAAAAAAACTGCAACAAAGTCAAACGCCATAATTTTTACTTTTTTAAATTCTATTGAATGAAAGCAACAAATTTCGGAAATAGCATCAAATTTTAGAATATGTCTTGATTTGTTCGAGTTGGTCACCTTTGGCACGAATTATGACCTTCAAACGGCCAATGAAACCGTCACACGCTGCCCGAATGTTGCTCTGCGGTATTTTGGCCCATTCCCGGCAAAGCGCTTGCTTGAGGTAATCGACACTTTGGTATTTTTTAGTGCCAACCTTGCTTTCCAAAATACTCCAGACCAACGGATTGGTATCCGAAGATTTTGGTGGCCATTGTGCGCTGGAAATGAAGCGAGGAACCTCATTTTGTAATCATTCTTGGGTGGCGCTGCTGAGTGCGATGGTGCTGAGTCATGTTGGAATGTCCAAGGTCTGCGTCCAAAATGTTTGCGTGCCCAAGGCTTTGATACACCCTCCAGAATATTTTCGCGATAATATTCGGCATTTATTCTGATGCCACGATCGATTAATATGAGCGATGTCAGTTCTAGTACTTTTTGGAATTTCAATGGCTTTACCCCCAGCTCATTTTTCAATATTTGCCGAATGGCTCACGAATCATTTTTCGGCTTTTTTACTTTTCGGACCAATTCTGCTGATGTTGCTGTTTTCTTCCGTCCACTTCCTTGACTTCGGACTACGCTACCAGTATCACGGTAACGAGTGATGGTACGAGACACAAAAGATTTATTCACATTTAATTGCTGGAGTGCTCTAACGATAGCCACTTGGGGGTTTCCAGCCAAACATAAAGAAATCACACTATCACGCTTGAATTCAATCACGAATAATTTTTTTTCAGGAAAATTCTCACCAAAATGCTTTTGTATGCTTGTAAACAATATAATGAGTTGTCACTGGAATAATTTTAACAGCTGCCGGACTGTATGTGCTGGCATAACACAGATCGACTCAGCTATAGCCTTGTATAAAATACGCATTATACGCATCCCCGTAATACCTCCGATATTTATGAAATTTCATACGTTGTAATTTCATTTTTTCAAAGATATTAAAGCATGTTAATTTTCGGTGCTATATCTAAATAAGCGTTAGAATTTGAAACTCTGGTTATTTTCTATAAATGTTTATTCCTGCGAAAACAATTTAACGGAATTTTAAGACTCAAATTAATTTTAAAATATCTGTTTGGCTTCAGACTTTGTCTAAGTAAAATCTTCAATTAACATGTTTTCCCTTCTTTTCATTTCATATCTCGGTTATTCTTTAATTTAAACACACCATCCACTCACCTTTCAACAACATATGCTGGCGAAACCTGCGATGGATAACAAAATATTTAAAACAACAATCATAACCATGGTGTGTGGCTATCTACGAACGAACGATGAACATTGGATGTTCTATGGTCGGCATTCTCTCCCTGAACTACGAAACATAAATGAATCGACCGACCGACAAACACGTACTTTGTGTGTACAACAATTAACATGGCAACTATGTATGCGAATATGCCAATGTAAACATAAATAAACGCACGGATGCTCATTCCAGACCTGATGACATCCACACATTGTACTCTGGACGTACAGTGGAAATTAATAATACTGATGCCGAGGGACGTCTGGTATTGTCCGATGGTGTTGCATATGCCCACAAAGATCTAAAGGCGAACATAATATTGGACATGGCAACACTGACTGGTGCCCAGGTGCGTATGTTTCGTGTATTTTGAAATGATTAGAATAACTTGTATTTGACAACATAATTTTGTATATTAAACGTTTTTTTATGGAGGGATGGAAACCTGCCAGCTTTGTTCAAGGCAAAATTTTTTATACATCCAAACATTTCCAGACAAATCAATGATCTTAAGAATGCATAAAATAGTCCTAGTGACAATAACGTGTTTCATATAAAATTTTGTTAAATCCTTTGAAGACATTATGCACATATTTGAAGTTGTTTCATTTTCATCCAGACATACTGTTCTGTGTCATAGTCTTGTTTGATTATTCTCATTCAGATTCCTTTGTTTGAAATATTGCAGTTCAGTGACTGTTCAAAGCTACTCTTGATTTTTATGACAACCAAATATTGACAAATGTTCGTTGCCTCTGAGACGATATTATCGACCGATATATCATGGACATTGTTTGAACATGAATGCAGCAGATGTTAGTCAAATCAAATATTATAACGTATTTGATTCGATTACGTCATAATGTTGATTGAAATGTTGACAGAACATAGAAACTTAATCTCATACATTTAACAGACATTTCTGAGGGATTTTATTTAAGAATATTAAAGTTTTCTGGCGTTTTTGCATTATGGACGTACGCATAACCAGCCAGCACTACTAGTTAATTGGTGATGAAATATAAATAAAGCTTTTGTTCCGAAAACCTTGTCGGATGATTTAATTTGAACCTTATTTTACTAAAAATTCCAATTGAAAACAATTTGTGCACAACTCATGCACAAAACACACCTATTCTCATTATTCAATTTCTGTTTGTGATGTCAGTTTATTTATGTTCTATAAATATTTTGCAAAAAAAATTGAATATTGGCTTTTATTCACTGCTGGTACTTCACTTCGTTCATTTTGTTTTCAGGGCATTGCTACTGGAAAATATCACGGCGCCATACTGACAAATTCTGAAGAATGGGAAATTAAGTCCCTCGAAGCTGGACGTAAATCTGGAGATTTATTGGCGCCCTTAGTTTACTGCCCCGAATTGCATTTCTCCGAGTTTGCATCGGCCGTTGCCGACATGAAGAACTCCGTTGCGGTAAGTAGTCATGTAGCCTACATTTACATTATTTTTTGTTACGAAGAACTGGGAATTACTGATAATATGTTTATAACGATTTAATTACCATTCTGTTGTGGACAAGTGCGGACAGCAGGCATGACGATACAATGTATGTCGTTAATTCGTAGAGTATTACCTACATTTGCGTGTGGGAGATTTGGAATTGTTCTTATTTTAAATATATTTTAGTAGAAGGATAAATTGCGCTAGTGGCTGTTTTTTACCTTTTTTGGAAATATGTTTTTAAACTCTTTTTAAACGGGATCAAAATGTTTTGCAAAATTATTTTTTATTAATTTCATTATTATTAAATACGTTATAAGTTTACATTTTACCTAAACGTCAGGAATTCAAATATATTAAAAAACACATTTTTTCATTAATATTCATAAACGTCGCTAAAGAAAAGAAATCTACGTTTCCACTGCGTATCAAAAAATATTTACATCAATATTCCCTAATTTTTTGATAAGTTTTCCCTTTGCCTTTTTTCGAGTTGACGCCGGAAAGTACATATATACAATATTCAAAATAAAATTTCACTATAAATCTCAAGATAAACTATATATCTAGATACAATTGTTTTTAAGAAAATTATATCCGAAATGTATGTACTACAAGTGAAAATTACCTTATATACCCTCCACCATAGTATGGAGGGTATATTAAGTTTGTCATTTCGTTTGTAACACCTCGAACTATACATTTTACACCCCACAAAGTATATATATATTCTTGATCAGCATAAAATTCTATGTCAATTTAGCGATATCCGTCCGTCTGTCCGTCTATCCGTCTGTGGAAATAACTCTAGCTTCCGAACGAAATGAAATAGTTTGATAAAATTTTACTCAAATGTATATTATGTCTGCAGGACTTTTAGTATTGAAAATGGGCTATGTAGGTCCACGTAGGACATGTAGGACATTATTCACCGGAATTGTTTCAAATTTGGTATTTGAAGTTCTAAATCTATACTACAGCCTATGACAGAAAATTGTATGTGCAGGTACACGTCTTCTTATAACCCCCATATAACGGTACTTCCCCATATTCGGTATTTTGATGATGCAGCTCCACGTCGTCGTATAGACACTTATATAACGGCTACATTCGTTATTTTTAAGATTTTAACCGAATTTTAACGGATTTTCATTTTTTTTTTAAATTGCCAAATTCGTTCAAAGTGGTGGAGGGTATATATTCAGCCTGGCCGAACTTTTAATTGTTTGCTGTTAATTTAATACGTATCCAATCCGATAAAGATCTCCTTTTATATATTTTTTTTTGGGAAAGTGTCAATGCCTTTGAACAAAATAAATTTGTATAATCAATATGTGTCATGAAAAATATCTACCTTGTATGGAACAGGGTCCCCCGATTTAGGCTACTATGCGATGTAAAATTCAAAACGCCGACGTGTCTTCTATTTATAGCTCTACTTTCATTATCTGAGGGATTTTCCCCGTAATTATTCAAAAAAAAAAAAAATTGAATTTGTCGCACAGCGTAATAAAGAATTGTTACAATATGTTAGTCTAGTTTTATTTGCCGCAATTCTCAGTCTATTTGTGAGACACTAGCTACATATACATATATGCTGGTTTTTCGTATTTATGATGGATGACTAACTTCTTGTATTTAAATAATGGGTGTGTGCGATAACCAATGAAAATATTACAAAATGTTATTCGATCAATATATGTACGTAAAAGGGAAAATTCTCACAGTACAAGTTACTGAGTGTTTTTTACTGCAAAATTTATGGTATATAATTTCTTGCATTCTTGTAAAAAGCTGTGAAGTGAATTGACTTTAATTTGCTAGTTTGAGATCATAACTGCTGCATCCATCCCGTCTTCTAACGCATCTTAAAGTCAACTTTGTTGATTAAAATTGATGTTTTGTTTGTGGAGGGTATACGCGAACCCTACTTCGGCCACTCATTCCCAAAATTCATAGCTTATTCACAGAATGAATAGTAAACCAAATCAAATGATATAAAAACCTACGGAATCTTTTTTATTTGAAAGAACAATCCTTCCGCTTAATAATGTAAAATAATTTTATTCAAATGTCTGATCTTTCAAATGTTTAAGCACATTATTGATTGTGTGCAGCTGTATTTCATTAATCGTTCACGAATATAATGTTTTGAGGGGTAATTGTATCTGGCTTGTGAAGCCTCGACTGTGTGGCACGTAGCGCCGTCTTGTTAAACCCAAATGTTGTCAATATTCTCCTCTTCATTTTTTAGGGATTTGTGTTCTGAAAAATCGTTCAACTTGGTCCGATAATGTAACGGTTTTTTTTCGAAGGACAATGACCCAATTATGCTTTTGGAGCAAAAAGTTACTCGTTTTCGGCTTTTCAATGTCTGCGTGTGGGTTTTCTGTACCCCAAGTGCCACAATATTGCTGGTTTACATACGGTGCTTCTGTTCTTCCAAAATTCTTACGCATTCTGCAACATTTTAAAGTAATAATTTCATAATGATTTTAAAGTAATTTCGAATATTTTCCAAGCGAACAACCAAATCCGTTCAGGGGAAGGATAAAGCAATTCATCTTTCAAATCAGGGGCATTCACGAAATAAGAACCAGTTAAAAAAATGATCAATGGCAGACTCTGCAAAACTAGTAGATTTTTGTCGGTTCTGTAACAGCCCTATTGTTGTTTCCTGATAGTAAAAAATCGCCCCTAAAAACTACCACAGGATATTTTGAAAAGAACAAAAAGCAATATAATTTTTAAATATAAATATTTTACAAAAACGAATCTTTCCAATAAGTAAATTCCAAATTATTTTGTTCGATTTATTTTAATATACTTTTTTGCTTTCCGATTAATAGGAAATAAACGTTTACTTGCATCGTTTTCTTTCAAGATTTTTTTTCAGTCGTTTCTGCAATGTTATGCGAATCCGTTTTTCCTTCTTTTACACTATCTTGTTGACTTTTCTTTTCGTTTATTTTATTCAGTTTTATGGTATGGAAATTATGAAAGCAATTTGAAGTTTCCTTTTTATGACTTATGCAGGTCGTCAGAATGTTTACTGCTGGCATCCACCTCCTTCTTTGTTTTCCTTGCTTTTTTTTGGTTTTTTTGCTTGTGTTTGCCCTAATCTTAGTATTATCCAAAGTTTCTTGCTGCTACATCTCAAACTGATAATATTTGGATTGTCTCGAAGCAATTTTCTCATCACAAAAAAAGAAATATTGTTGTTGGTTTCCTTATTTTTCATAATCTTATTTCGGTTTATAGCTTTGAAAAATATAAACTAACAGTAGTCTGGGAAAATATATGTTCGAAATATAACAGAATAAAATTGTTCAATAATAATAAAACATGTAAAGCACACGTCCATTACGAAACGATGTTGAGAGGTTTTTTATTTTAAAGAAGTTGTTCTATTTGGATTTAGTTTTTTCTAAGAAAATTAGAATTCAGTTGTGGTTTTGTTTTTCGTAAGTTGAAACAATTGGAGTTGAAACTAAAGGCCGTGATCATATATCTCCTTTTGTGAGAGAGTTTCTAGGTTGTTCGTTTGATAGTTTTATTGCAGACATCTTTTTCTTTTTTTGAATCTCTTTAAGTTTTCTAGATCTGTAAGGACCCCACAAATCCTTATACCGCGCTTGATTCATCTGTTACAAAAATTTTTCTATTTAAAAATTGCTCGCATTTTTAACAATCTCCCATCCAATCTTAAGACATTGTATTCTTCCTTTAAGTTTATAAGCATAAACTGTATGCTAATTTTAATCCAAAATATCGCTCATCTCTTATTTTTTATACCCTCCATCATGCATAGTATGGAGGGTATATTAAGTTCGTCATTCCGTTTGTAACTCATCTTAATAATTTTAGACCCAACAAAGAGATAAAAATAAATGCAAAAAAGTCAAACACCATAATTTTTACATATTTTTTTTTGAATTTTATTGAATGAAATGTCGGAAATAGCATCAAATTTTAGAATAAGTTTAGATTTGTTCGAATTGGTCACCTTTGGCATGAATTATGGCCTTCAAACGGCCAATGAATGTTGCTCTGCGGTATTTTGGCACATTCCCGGCGAAGCGATACTTTGGTATATTTTAGTGCCAATACTCCAGACACAATAGTCCAACGGATTGGTATCCGGAGATTTCGGTGGCCATTGTGCGCGAGAAATCTCATTTTCTAACCATTCTTTGGTGGTGCGTGCTGAGTGCGATGGTGCTGAGTACTGTTGGAATGTCCAAGGCTTTAATACATCCTCTAGAATATTTTCGCCATAATATTCGGCATTTATTCTGATGCCACGGTCAATTAATACGAGCGGAAAGCGACTATCGGCTGTTATGGTGGCCCACACGATCACCATGGCCGGGGCTTAAGTTCTGGTGCCGAACCGAAGGTGCCCATTTTCAGCTGACCTCTTTGGCAAGTAAACGCGATCATTTTGTTTGTTTACAAACTGCTGGACAACGATTTTTTTTCTCATTGGAGAAAACCAATTTCGGCAGTTCACCACTTTCGACCAAGCGAATCAACTCTTTAGCTTTAGTGGACCATCTACATGAGGAGGCGAAAGTCCTTCCCTTACGTCAGCATAATCATATGCTTTCGTTGCAGTACCTGCTTGGGTGTTACCGTGAGAGCCATCCCAACCATCAAATGGTGGATAACTCTCCCTCACCCAGGCGTGTCAGGAAGGACATACATGATCTAGAGAGGGAGGTCCAGCGCTACAAGAGAGAGCCTCTAGATCAAGAAGCCTATCAGGCAGGTCTGAGTGGCATTCACACCGATGCAGTCGCGGATGCTATTAGCAGTTATAAAGTGAATGCCGTCCTCGGAGTCCACCCCCCATCCATTGCAGCCGAAGAACGTCAGCTGCCTAGACAAACCAGGGTAGTTTTGGCGCAATTACGTTCAGGATGGTGTAGTCGCCTCAATTCGTATTGGGCACGAATTGATGAAGATGTGCG